CAGGAAACCCAGTACCTAGGTTTCGTGCTATTTGTCACTCGTCAGTCAGGTGTACCTGTAATCTTGAGGGGACTGGTGTTCCTTGATAGATTCGATCCCGTATCACCCAGCTTCACAGTCAGAGACGTTACTACTGAGCTATCCGGGCCGTGACCGACCTCCTGTAGGACTGAGATGTATTCACAATTGATTGATCACTGGGTAGTGATCAATGTTATGTGTGTCAAGGCCTTCTTAGTGCAGATCGAATGCAATTGATCAAGTTGTAATGTGACCACTAGTCTAGGTGTGTTATGTCTTAAACACTGAGTAAGAGTTGAATGGTGTACATGTCAGCTAATCGGTGATAATGAGCAACGATCACCCATTAGTATCAGTGATATCCATCTTACTCTTAATGTCATTAAGTCAACACATAACAGCTGCTCATCAGGTAAAAGATATACAGTGCTTTTTAGTTTTCAATCATTATCATTGCTAAAGTCAATCCGAATTTTGTAGATCTAATGAATATCCATTAAAATATACAGAATAATCCAGTAAATCACAACTTACTCTAACTATTCCATATGTAAGCTTTGAAAATTTAAGTATGTTTCAGAGATTGAATTCACAATACATGATTTCTGTAACATCTTTATAGATTATACCTTTGCACAATGATGAACGTAAATATTGTGAAGAGTTACACGGTTATGAACTGTCTTGAAGTTAGTAACTCCAGAGTAAAAAGTTATTGTAAACGTCATATACTTTGTCAATATGGAAGTTTCATTCCAGAAGGAAAGTAATACATTGAAGTTTCATAGTCTGTATAATCCCATTTTTTTTTATATATTAATCTTAGTTGATATATCTGCATCCTGTGGGGATTATCTTGATATAGCGATTATATCATAAGTTTATATGAAAAAGATAGGGTGTGTCTGTGACTGGAATCCAGGATGTCGGTTTCGTCTTATTCCGGACTTGTCATCTGGATGAATTTGGATCTTAGAAATGATTTCCAATTTGACAATCGAGACCAGTGCCACTCGTTTCAAACGAGGAGGCTTAGACAGAGGCGAGTTAAGCTGATGAGTTCTAAGTAGGACGAAACGGACATCTCGGATCCCACTCATAACTACATTTCACCTGTCCTCACTGTTTATATTTTTTCTAGGGATTGAATAATCAAGATCGAAAAACATTTTACGTCGTTAATATGATCAACATTTACCGTACTATTTACGAGTTCACTCATGTAAACGATTGGTTTTACTAGGTCAATGGAATAAATAGTAATTAATGTCAAATTTCTTAGTTTTATTTCATTACAAACAATCTTCGAGGAGACAAACCGAGTAATCTTGCAGCGCCATATCCTTTAAGTAAAGCATCCGCGTAGCATTAGCCTAGTGGTCGGTGCATCTTACTTCAATGATATTTACTTTGTTAGTTGAATTTATGAGTCATTTGAAGCTAGACCACCATAGAAAACCTAAATAAACTGGACGGCTGTTTCGTCCAGTGGAGTTCAACCGGGTCTGTTGTGAGATAGCGACTCACTGAAGACAATGGTGGATGGAAGCGCAGCTTCATGGATTGGTTGAAGTTAGACATTAAGACCACTGGATGCTGGTTCACTGATCTAGAGGTTAGGCGCTCGCGCGCTAGACTGGTAGGTCCTGGATTCGAACCTCGCGGGGGGGCGGGATCGTGTATGCGCACTACTGAGAAGTCCCACAAAAAGACAAAAGAGACGTCCAGTGCTTCCAGGTTTTCCATGGCGGTTTAGCTTCAACTGACTCATGATTTCAACTACTGAAATGCTAAATTAAAAAGTATCTTCTTAATATGTGAAAACCATACACTAAACACAATATTTCCACATCTTCCTTCAATTGTCCTTTATACAGTTGATGATTCTTTCAGTTCTGTTGTTATCACAATTGTTTTTTTTACTTTTCTTCTTCTTATTCTCTTCAATTCAATCTTCTGCCGACAGGCATTTCACTCCCATCTGTTGTTACATACTACTCATATCTGTCAATATAAGTAGCATATACCCCACTATTAAATATACCCCACATTATAATTATCGTATAATTCAGTGTAAATTATATTAATGTATAGTAATTTTATTTTTTTTTAATTTTATTTCTCAAGCGGCAGGAACTCCAGGAATTTACAGCAATGTTACATTCGTCAATGATTGGATCTCTTCCATTATCCAATCCTAAGATCAATAATTATAAACTATTGTAGAAATAAACAAATAGTTTACTGTATGATGTAAACACTCCTTGGTTACAATTGTCAACATTTATACGGTTATTTAATTTCTATTTGTATAAAAATCATTCTGATAAATCTTCTGATTCAACGCTAGATTCGATTCCTAAGCTCTTCTAGTAATCTACTCCCCCCCCCACACACACACATAGGGCTTAATCTACACAGCGACTTGAACACAAGAGAAACGCTTTCCTCAAAGGTTCGTTTATATACAGAAAATCTAGGGTATTTATTAGTACTTTAGATGGCATTGGGTTTCCGGTAGGATCTGGAAAGCTACTAAACATAGTAGCAGTATAAGTGATGATTCAATCAGAAACGCGATATGTGACTTTCCATGATCTAGATATTTCTAGTAAAACGTTTATTGAATGCTAATTGGATAAAATGTTTCTCAGCGTTTCCAGAGCTTTCTTTTTGGCTTTTTTTCAAGTTTTTCTGGATCTACCCCAACATATTCATTTACACATCATAAACACTTGAAATTCCATTTACATCATAAAATGAATTAATCTGACACTAGTTATTGAGAAGCTAGACAGTAATGCACATAATATGAATATCTCAATCATTTACTGGGTTAAAACCAACGAGAGTTAACTAAAGATAGATTTGTTATGATTATTCAACTTTTACATAATCCATTATTTATCATAATAAACACAGATATGTTGAGTAATAGCGTTGGGGACCATAGATCCCCAGAACTAACTTGGGAAAGGACCTAATTTTGTAATTTTATTTAGACAATTTGAATTTCTTTGTTTTCGCGTCAAAGGCACTCTTTTCAGCTTCATGTTATATTTCCTACTTGGGAGAATCTTAAATGCTATTGGTCCGTTGAGTCTTTTAGTATGCTAATTTGTAACTCTCCTCGAGGACGGTTTTGTACTGTATATATACGTTTTGATTTGTGTTTGATGCTTTCGCTCGTTTCTGGCTGTTTGCGGAATAGACTTCTCCATTCCAAGCTTGGACTTCTTCCTCTAGTTAGCGGGGCTGGAACGCATCAAATAGCTAGCTTGTTGGTCTTTGGTCACCGAGTCTTTGTTTCCGTTCGCAGTCTAAGTGAACTCGTAACCGCTTCAAAACTTAGCAAATAGGAGTTGAAATAAAACTTTCATCACGAACTGACATCAGCTATAATAATTTTATGCTTTACCACCCTTTCGTTGATTAAGAGCTAAGAGATGGAGTCAATTTATTATTTATTTATTTGAATACATAAATATTGGTACAAAAAGGCACGAAATAAATATGCGCCACACAATAACAATGAGGACAGTAGCAGCTATTATTAATTTATGTAAGGGATAGGATACTCCTCGAGTGCCCAGACCAAAGCAAGTGGTTTCCTTAGCCGGCCATAACCGGAGCCTTCGACCTAAAGGTCTGATCCACATGAAAGTGAAGCAATGTGAGAAAATGCAGTCCTATGGTAGCTGGTGACCAACAATAGGTTCCATCAGGATCCCGGAACCGATGTACACCATTGGTTTGGAATCCGAGTTTTACAACTCCCCTAGGTGGACTCTTCGTGTCCACCAACCTAGTTAAAGGGCCGGACATTCGCTTTTCGTCCTCTCAATTTCGTAAACAACAGAAATGCAGCAAGAAGACAGTGAGTAGGACTTCCCTGTTAGTGGTTGTATACACGTGGCCACAATAGTGCCCGCAGTGTCGAGTCACTTAGACTGGTAGTCACATTGTAAAACGGTCGATAGCATTCGATCTGCACTAATAAGGATTAGACAAGCATGATATTGATCATCACTCAGTGATCAATCAATTGTGAAATAATCACTTCACATTTTGATCGGTTCATTCAAGGCTGCCCCTTAGCACTGTATATTTTCATCATTAAACCGAATTTTAAAATATCAAATAAACCAATGAATATCAACTATTACAAGATAATCAACCGAGTTTATTTGTGCATTAAAAAATTTAGAAAATAAATTTGAAGTGAAAACTAAACCGGAAAAACACACACTCTCTCTCTTTCCCTCTTTCCTTCTCTCTTTCTTTTCCTTAATAGTATATTTTTCATAATGATAATTATGTTATAGAGAAGAGAGCGAGCAAGTGAAAGAAAGAGAAACAATTGATTCACACCAATCATTCTAATATAAGTTTTTGAATCATAATGATAGATTATCACATAGACTAGTAGGAACCAAGTCATAATCAATCTAAATCAAATGAGTTAGAAAAAGGATTTAAACATAAAAAAAAATTTTTTTAAGAAAAAAAAAAGGAAAACAAAACAAAACTCTACAGTTTCACAGAAATAAAAAGAAAAAAAAATTTTTGAGTAGAAGTCATTTAGATATTTTGTTTTAATAATACACCATTTCTTTATTTAATGGGAGAATTATAACACAACAAGAATAAATATTCACCTAAATAGAATCTATTTTACTGAATTATGATTGGATCAGAAAAACAAAACCCCATAAAAAAAAGTGATAGACAGACACACACATATATAAAAATGTCTAAGGGGAACCAATAAAAATGCTTAAAAAATTATATTAAGTAATTATGATTGGTAGTTTTCAATTTGCAACAATTGATCGATATACAGACAGGTTAGTGTTGTTGAGGGAAATCATATATATATATATATATATATATATATATATATATATATATATATATATATATATATATATATATATGTGAACAAGGACTTAGGGGTCTGGCGGGATCAAATGGGAAGTGAAACACGGTCTTGGGGCTATAGATATTAAGGGGAAGCGATGTAAATAAATAAAGGAAACAAATCACAGCCGGTTTCTTTCAGGTAAACGTTTCTTTGGTTCTTTTTTTCTTGTGAAACAAAGATATTTTGCACGGTTATTTGTTTTCTTTTTTTTTTCTTCTCTATTTACGAGTTTATAGATGTATTTAAGAATTAGATTTTAGAATTGGATTATTACTATTTGATTGATTAGTTATGGAAATCTGTGCAGATCTATTATTTAAATAATCCTTATTATGATTATTCACAATGTTATTTAATATAGGTAATCTAGTATCTAATAATAAATTTCCATTAGCATCTTTAATACGTAAACGTCCAGAACTATAACGAGTTTCATGTCGACCATCAGGAAATATAGTTTTTGTAGTACCATCTGGATATACACGACACTAAGAATTAAAAGTTTAGAAAAAGTGTAAAAATTTGGATAGATTAATTCATTTATAGCAAAGTTTATAGAAAACTTTATTCTCTCATGTATTAAACCATCATTGTCTTAAATAAACTTGGTAGATGTAGACCACTTGGTTTGGGGTCCGCATGACTATTGTTACCAATGATTAAAGCCTTTAGGTGACTTCGCTCAGAATCGATCACAATGACGTCGGTGTACACACTCTCTGTACACACTCTCTTAAACTATGAGATTAAAATTGCTTTATATCTTTCTTTCTACCAATTAATTCTCTCATCTTGTACTATGTCGTTATATTCAATCTTTCTTTTATATATTACCACCATTGAATTAACTACTTCTATTAATCAGGTGTTCATCTTGCTGTGTTAATGTGGTATAACATCTTAGACTGATGCACATATGTGCCTGGTCTACGTTGTAGATGGCTGACTGAAACTTTGAAAAAAGTTAGTTAAACACATATACTTGCGTGTTTCAATGATCTATATGACTAACAGAACAGCCAGTCAAAGAAAATGAACGACTTGTCATGAATAAACACAAAGTTTCAGTTGTCATAGTTCATACTTCACAGGAAAACGAGACTTAAAAAGAAATAAATAATGAATACAACTGCGCTACATTGACCAATTTCAAACTGCATCATCTAAGATCTACAACTATAGATGTCAACCAAGATATCTTCAAATCCCGAAGACAGTTTATGGTACATAGAATGTCTAACTTTATTTAAACTTACATCGATGTTAGACATAATTGTGAGGGAAATGGATGGACATGCGTACTATATGCCCTAATCCATCTCTTCCAGAGTTTCTTCATCAAGTGTGATTGGGTTGGTGTTCTCTGTGTTGAATTTGAGCATATTGCTTTTTCCCTTGTGTATGTTAAGGGCCTACTGATGCAGAGGCTACTACTACACTAGTTGTCTTCATCTGCATCTATTGGTGTGTATGCGATAGAAGGACCAGGTCATCTGCAAAGTACAAATCTTCTAATTGATTGAACTGGTTCATAGCAAAACATAAATTAATTACAAAATAGCAAGCATTGGTGATTCACAAAACCTAACTAACTTTTATTCCTGAACTAGAATGTATTTCACGTTGACCATTAGGTAATAATATTTCTTTAACATCATTATTGTTGTTAAGTTGACGACAAATCTGTTCATTTGTCAAAGATTTCAATGAATGGACTGTTGTTGTTGTTGGTAATAAAACCTTGTCTGGATCTATTTGTCGACAAGAATAGAGAATTTCTTGACGTCCACTAAAACAAAACAAAAAGACCATTTTGTATGTTTTTTTGTCCAAAGAAATCACACAACTTAATCCTCAACAAACACACTGGTTACTTGAAAAATCAAAGTTTCAGCAATAATTCATCTAACTTTGTATGGCTAATCATCGAAGATTTATTAGCCGAGTCAGTTAGTCATAAGTTGACGAAGGGTCTGACACAAAAATATGTGTTAGTCCAGGCTGCCATATCAAAATGACAAAGAGAGAGAAGAATATCAGAGCAGCTAGAATAATTATCGCGGTTATGATAGCGAGAAAGACTAATGTGAACAGAGAGATAAAGAAGTCATGACAAATAACGGAAACTTTTGGGGGGGACGTTATTTCACTTAATTTAAAGTTAGTAAAATACTAACATTTAGTTATATCTCTAGTTATTCTGTAATAAGCTTTCGTTTGATGTATAATTCACTGCCATACCCTTTTCTGTTCAAAAGCTATTGTAATTTAATAGTTGAAATCATGAGTCAGTTGAAACTAGACCACCATGGAAAACCTGGAAGCACTGGACGGCCGTTAGACATTAACACCATTGGATGCCTGCTCAGTGGTCTAATGATTAAGTACTCGCGCGCGGGACTGGTAGATCCTGGGTTCAAATCTCGTGGAGGGGGGACAGGATCGTGGATGCGCACTACTGAGGAGTTCTATACTAGGACGAAGTGGCCGTCTAGTGCTTCCAAGCTATCCATGGTGGTCTAGCTTTAATTAACTCATGATTCCAAGTATTGAAATTACTAAAATCTCCACAAAACCCCTTCTGATATTGTAATTTAAACATAACCTTTTGTACTCTAATTTTCTACCGTAATGCTTAGTTTGGACATAATTGTATTTATCTAATTGTTTCCGCGTTATGGGCAATGTTAGTCATCTACACTAATCGGGAATCAGGAATAAATCAAGTAGTGTACCAGTTGACTTGTCTTCTCTCTCTCTCTTGTCAACTAACCAAACCAGTTAGTCGCAATTCGAACTCACGCATTTCTAGTTTCAAGATTGAACCAGTTAGCCTATCATTTTAAGGCTTTAATACACTTCTGGGCAAGTCTTCTCCTTTATATTATTGGGTAGATAGATCAAGGATGTAACAAAGACTAAAGATTGAGAATACAATTCATAAGATCGGGTGAAAAATCACATCAGACATAATTCTGGAACTGGAGATTTGCAGGGAGATAAAAATGAATATATCTGTGCCTCTGTATTTGATCTTGTGTCATATTACCCGATGTTTACAAAGCTGAATATACTAAGTTGTAATTGGTCAGTTACTTTATGGGCAGGTCACAACTATTAGACAAAAAGAGATGCTTTCGACAATTGCTAATTAAATTAAGAATTCTGTTTCCTTTCGACATAAGTCATTTTCATTTCACTAACAAAAGGCTAAAAGTTGAAAAGAATTTGAATGGGTAGCTAATTCACTTGCAAAAAATATTGCTTATCAAGTGAAGTATGATAACATCGTCCAGATCCACATTTCTGTAAGATTATTAGTCAGTCATAGTGAACGAAGAGATTGAGACAGATGTATATTGTTATAAGTTGCCAAATCTTATTAGCAAAATGAATACCAAAGGAATCGAACCTTAACGAGTAAAGAACCAACTCGATGATATATAATGATAACATGTATTTCATAGAAACACAGTTTTACTCTCTTCAGATGGGCAAACATGTGTAGAGAGAAACAAAATTGACTTACTCAGAATATTTAATCTCTTCAGTTCCATTAGGATAAGTTATCTGAACTGTTCCATCAGCTGCATAATGATATATCTATTTACATAAAATAAGATTAGAAAAGGGAAAAAAAGATATAACTCATTTCACCTACGTTTAGATTTATGAACTCAATTTTGAGCTAAAATTTAATTAGAAAAGGTCTATCCTACCCAATTGTTCATAGAAATAAGTAAAGACGGAATTTTAACTTTCTGACATAGTAATTAGACGTCGAACATAATAAGTGACACAATTCCAGTCAGTATATATTACCACTAATAACATACTACTTATTAAACAGATAGTAGTTTGAGTCGAATTACAATATTCAACGAAATATGCGATGTTAATTTTTAAGCTGAAAAATTATCTATAGGAGAAGTTATATCAGTTGTCATCAAAATATGACATCAAGCAGGAAACTATAGAAAAGAAGAGACCAAACTATCATTATTAAGTGGTGCCATACGTCTCCTGGTGTCAATGATCTTCATTAACCCTTGAGCTGGAGTGGAATGTTCAATCAGCTGACAATGTAACGAGAAGATCATTTTGATAGGTATTATGCCTGAACTCTTAGATCCTCTCTTCTTATTCCTTAGACAACTATTAATCAGGAACATCGAATAGAAAACAGATGGCAGAAGTATAGAAGAAGCTTTATAACGAAGGTTATCGTATACGCGCAACAAATAGATCAGTCTGACTTTGAGGTACTAAAATGATCAGTTAAACATAGAATAGTGAAAATTCAATCCCCTTTTCGTAAATTAGTCATCTGAGTATTTTTTCAGGAGATTCTGGGTTTCTGAAGAGTTTTCCCAAGGAGTTTTCGATGACTCCTAAGACAATCAATTTTATCCATTATATCTATTCCACACCCTAACGGATCACCGTTTCCTCGAGGCTGGTCGATAATAATAACATCATTATTTGGTAAATCATATATAGAGGCTTATGAAGATCTAAGAGTCCTTGTTAAATCCAGGTCGCGTCATCTATGTATGAGTAGTTGTCCCCGTCAATATATGTGTTTACTGTTAGGTTTGGGGCCTCACTGTTCATAATTGATAATTAGGAACCATCCCAATTCCCAAGAGGCTAAGTAAGAACACGAAAGACTAGAGCAATTAAGATTAATTGGCTCGTCAAAAAACACGTCACCAAACAAATCCCAAAATTGCATCGTTAGTAGATCAAAATACAAACATTTATATATTAATTTCGACACACACACACACACCATATAATAACATATATATAGGAAGAAATACATAGGGTAACTGTAAAAAAACATGCACACTAATATAGTTCACCTGAATCGATGCAGGGAATATAATTGTTACACTTGTCATATTGAATGAATTTTACACTGAATTAATAAAAAAAAATATTGACCTTAGATAGTGTCATCTTTTTATCCTGTCATTATCAGTCCTAGGTAAAATCTCTTGCAAGGGTTGTGAATGAACATGACCAAGGAGTTTTGAATCAGATTTGGTGAGTGAGTGAGTGAAGAGGAGATAGTTTCCATCGGGTTTTTTGACCAAATGATCTGATTCGATGTTGATAGTGCATGTGAGTGTGTGTGTCTGTGTGTATTGTGTAGTGTTGTCCTTGAATAGTACAGTATATTTGGATGAATGTGAAATAGAATGTTGATAGATTTATTGAATGCTTTCTAGTTATTAATGGCTTTCATGAACTAATCTCAATTCATATTGAGAAATAACTTCATGATAAACAATATCACAGATTCATTAAATAACTCTATTATGACAAGATTCAATTGAAAGTTATTTACACGAGTATTAAATGCTGATTTCTTGAAATGTATGCATGATTTCATCATTGTTATAACGCTCAGTTTTATAACGGTTGGATTTCCACGTTTACACGTATGGGACGTTAATTCACCTTAGACGAATATCTACACTATATTCCCTCCCAGTAACTATTCTACAGAACTTCAACACAACTCAGATCAAGAACAAGTGATTAGCCTGACCACAACGTAAATATATTTCCACAACAAAAACCTGACACAATCCAACAACAATCAATAAGTGAGTGTCCTATAATAATAAGGATAGGGGAATAGATAACTCATCTGACGCCTATCAGGATATCTACATATCTGACTAAGCAGATAACCAATCATTACCATTCTTGCCCACATATCAATCATGATTCTAAACAGCGACATCATTAAAATCAACTTGCATTAAAATTGGAGTTTCTAGTGTTCGTCTATTTAAACGCAATTGTTCAATCCCCTTGATCACATGACGATGGATATTTGTGATTGGTTGTTATTAGGACTTTTGTTATCTGTATCACTATGTTCATATTCTAGTTGAATTAAGATTATCTGTGATGAGATTTCCACAGTTGAATTCATGGGTCGATCTAAACTAGATCACCATTGAAAACCTGGAAGCACTAGTCGGTTGTGACTCGTGAATTCAACTATGAAAAGACAAACGATCTTCACAAATCCCCATACTGATTATGTGATTTATCGACCATTCTATCATAAGTTAGTATATAGTTAATCACGGAAAACTAATTGAAACTTATTGGAAACAAAAAAAAAACCCATTTGAAGTTACTACTAACTATGTCATCGTCTAATAAGTCAATGAAAGATGAAACATTAAAGAGAAATTTTAATCCAAGAAGTTTGATAATAGTTCATTTAAGCTCGATATTCAAAGCATACTGAAACAATATGTTATAGGATTGATTGACGTAAGGAATGAAACAAATAAACAAACGAACAAAGGGATCAACATTGTTGACACAAACAGTATTTGACAAATGAATGAAGTAAAACAAAGCATACACTTACTACACGACCATCTGGTAAAGTACGTTTAATATCACCATTGAATAAAGATACAACTATAGTTACAGTGTCAGGAAAAATTTCTTTTACTGAACCATTAGCATAAGATACAATAATAGCACCATTTGAATAAGTTTGTTCAATCTATGGAATTGATAGAAAAAAAAAAGACGAAAAGTATCAGGATAAAGATCAATCCCATTGATGATCCAACTAGACTAAATGATTCGATATCATGTTGGATATTATGACGGGGATGAATATTGCGAAAGTTAGGATTAATCTCGAATTATTTTTATTGTTGAGGAGATCCAGAGTATTCTTTGAAAAAAGCTCAAAGGGATCCTGAAAACACTGGGAAACATTTTATCTAATCAGTATTCAACAAACTTATCCCAGAAACATCTAGAAAGTGAAAAGTCATGTCACATTTTTGATTGGATGATTACCTATCCTTCTACTATGTATAGTAGGGTCCCAGAAGCTCACTAATAGGGATCTATTGGCGATAGTATATCTGACAAATATAAGTGCCCACATATATAATGTTTAATTATGTAGTTACGAATCCGAAAATGTCCCACCATTATCAGAGTGGAAAAATACATGAATATTCATATAAATCACTTGTTATGGCCCTGAGGGTTAACCCTAACTAAGTATTCATTAACAATTAGTCATACTTTGTAGATGGTATTCCTTACGGACTGACTTTAATTGAAGTATGAATAGAAACCAAGAAGTACTGAACACCCGTTGTGTTCTATTATGGGACTACTCCCTAATAGTATACACGCATAACATTGACAAGGATCGAAGCCAAAGCTTGACAACTAGGACACGAGTTACCATCTGCTGATACACATTTCTAACATTGTCCATCTAATACAATAGTTCATCGGGCAATTTTTTTATAGTTAAATAAAATTTCAAGATCCAGATAAACAAACAGATTTTCATAAAGAATATTCTTTTACCGAACCATCCGTGTGCTTTACACTTCGGATTAGGGTGCCAGAAGCAGCTGTTCCTGGAATGGGTAACTTTTCTTGTTGATTGTTATCTATTTTGTTGGTAAAATCTTTCATTTGTTGGTTGTGATGATTTGATCTATGAAGGAAGAAGAGAGTTAGAGAAAATATACAATATGAGACAAGAATAATACACTCATCAAACTATATTGATATAATCATCATCAAATGATTCAGTTCGCTAGGTGAGAGGGTGAAAATGAGGAAACTATAGACTAGCAACTCTTAAAAGATCATAGTTGGATTTACGAGGAAACTTCTGTATCGTAGAAATTATCCACCGAGATAACAACAATTTCGCAGGTTAGTAGCTAAGTCACAGTGTTTGGACGTTAAAAGCTCCTACATGTAGTACAGAGCGTGGTTTCAGTAGACCAGGAATAACGTTCCACGTACTCGAATCGTTTGCACTAGCGGTGCGTGGTGATAAAGGGACGTGAGGAGGGTTAGCCGTGGAGATAAGAGAGTTATTAGGAGGTATAGGAAGGATTTGAATGTGACCAACTTGGTCTCATGTGCTGTTACGGGTATGAGGGCTGATATCACTTCCCGGCTGCCCACACCGTGGAAAGGTATTTTTTGAGGAACCTGAAAACGAAGGTGGATTAATGTTGGTCTTAACGATCTAGGAGCGAGACCGCAGGGCCCAAGAGACAACTGCTTGAGGCCGGTCGCGCACAACCTTTTTGTGAGAGGTTTTAAACGTGTTGGCTCTGTTCTTCAAATGGCCTTACCGCCGGAGACGGAAATCTGTGAAGTAAGGTGAGGCGTGACATTTTTAGGGTGGACTTTTTCTAACCCCTTCCTTCCTTGTGAGGAGGCAGCATCGCTACAGATGCTGGTTGTCGGAGGGAAAAACCTTACTGCTGTTACACCTCTTTACAGTCCGCAGTACCACTTTGCCCTCAGACCTTGAGTTGATACTTTTCGTCTTACCGTTCTCCAAACGACCTGCCTGGCATGGTAGAACCTGTAGGAACATATGTTCCAGCCAATATAGCTCGGTTGGGTCAACACGATAGGCAAGCCCGACCACCACGTCAAAGTAGCAGCTACGATCGGGGTTGGTAACGAAACAGTGAGAGGACGCTGAGTTCAGAGGGATTCAAGGTGATGAGCGCTTAAGTACGATTCAGTCAATTTTTTGTCTAAATATCTCTATAGATAACAACCTTAGTAGTTCAGTTTGTGTATTTAGTAAATAATTATAAATGACCATAATTGACAATCTTTCAACTGAATGATTAGTATACAGCTTTTTAACATACAGATAGGAATAAATGTTAACATACAAACCTACTTGATGTGATGCCCTGTAATCTCAAGTTATCTAAATGGATGTAGAACGATGATTTTAGACTTCGGATTACAAGTTCCAAAACCCACTACTGACAACTAATTAGGTTTGGATAGACAAGTAATATCACTAACTTCCCACACACACACAAACGGTATAACTTAAATCTGAGTATATAGACACATTTGAAATAATGAAGAAAGATTTGTTAATTCAATTGCATACTTTTGGAAGTGTTTTATTTTCTGAGTTGGATGACGATTTAATTCATCATCAAAAATCAAAATAATCACTTGGTAAATGACTATAATTTATGGACGACGTTTGAACAACGCTAAACTGACCTTGAGAGTATCCACCTGATCACTAGAATCAAATAAGGATTATAAATTAGTGTGAGGAATTCGAATTATGATTTACAGTTGATGGTTAAGGTTAGGAATGAATTCACATATAATGAAAGCTAGAGCGGTCTATGCCAATCTGGGCCATCTTTGACGCCTTCGTGATGTTAGTCTGGCTGTAAAAGGTCGAATCTACAACGCGTCGGTGGGAGCAGTTTTGCTCTATGCTTGTGAAACCTGGCTTCTCCGAGTTGAGGATGTTAGATGACTCTCTGTACTTGATCATCGTTGTCTCCGAACGATCGCTGACATCCAGTGGCAACACCATGTTAATAATGCAGAGGTTCAGCATCGTGTGTTCGGGCACAGAGACGATAATTCAAATTGGTGTCACCATGTTGAAACATCGATTTCAGTGGCCTGGATATGTTTTACGAATGTTGTCCCAGAGAATCCCACGTCGTGCATTATTTACCAACGCTGGGACTGGTTGGAAAAAGCGGAGAAGTGGTCGGTGTACGACATGGTGTCGGGGTATGAAAGAAAGCTGCAAAGGGTTGGCTTCTGTTTATCCTTCACGACTCCCTGGCTGGGGTCCTAGAGATGGTGTAACGCTGTGGCTAGAGACGTTATTAGATATGGCTCAGAATAGAAACCAGTGGCGATCCTGCTGTAACCTTTTTTTACTTTCCTCATAAAAAGTGATGGTAACTTTCTTAACTGAAGGAATTCTGTTAGCGGGACATAAATTGGATTAAAGTATGCACAATGCACGATTGCTTTGGTGCACACTGATTGGCTAATTCTTATCCAATCAAAATAAAACAAAATGATGATAATCATTTACATAGTTACTTACTGTGTTTTTGTTACTATGCTATTTTTATTTAAAACATTTATCACATTTGAAGAATGAACATTTTGTTTAACAATAAAATCCATTGACTTTTGTTCATTAGTAGTATCCTTATGATTATCATTACAGATGATAGCAGCATTACTATTACGAACATCATGAATATAATTATCATTATTATTATTATTATCGTTAATGAAATTGTTTGAATGTGAAGATAAACGAACTACTTGTTCATTACTTCCACCAATTGAAACAGAATCATCATCTCCAGTGAAATAACCACCACCACTAGCGATACTTTCGCGTGTACCACTAGTGACAGGTGAATTAGGCTCTTGGTGACATAATTTATCATTATTATTATTATTATTATTATTATTATTATTATTATTATTATTATTATTATTATTATTATGATTCAATTGAGGGATCATGCTGGAGACTTTATTCGAAGAAGAAGAAATAGTATTCTGTTTATGATGATTAATCATTCCAAGTTGGTTTACTTTTGTTAAAGAACGAGAGATGGATGACGCTGATGATGATGAAGAAGAAGAACGTGTGTGTGATAATTGTCTTGAACGTTGATCATATGTATTATTTGTGATTTTCGATACATCAGCATTATTATTATCATTATTCAGTGGAGTTAGACTAATAGATTGGGAAATTGAATTCACTGTCTAAATTGATACAAGAGAGGAAAACATCTAGACAGTCAAACGAATCAGTTTTAAAGGATGTATAAATTTAAACTTTATGCACAGTATGCTTACTTACTTACTAACTTACGCCTGTTACTCCTTATGGAGGAGCATAGGCCACTCATCCGAAATCTATATCCAACCATGTTCTCGGCAATCCTTTCCAGTTTTTATTCATCCTTTTCATATCTGCTTCTGTTTCTAGACGTAATATGTTATTTACCCTTACGCTTTTCTGCTTCCCTTCAGCATTCCAAGTTAGCGCTTGTCTCGTAATACAGTTTGGTGATTTCCGTAATGTATGTCCTATCCACTTCCAACGTCTTTTCCTAATTTCCTCTACAGCTAGAAGCTGATTTGTTCTCTCCCACAGTAGGTTGTTGTTGATGGTATCTGACCAATGGACGTTGAGTATCTTGCGTCGTCAACTGTTTATAAATTCTTGTACCTTTTTGATGATGGTTGTAGTAGTTCTTCAAGTTTGAGCTCCATACAGTAGAACTGTCTTAACGTTCCTATTGAAGATTCTGACCTTGATATTGATTGACAGTTGCTTTCAGTTCCATATGTTCTTCAACAGTAGGAATGCTGTCCTTGTTTTTCCAATCTTTGCCTTTGCGTCTGCATCAGATCCTACATGTTCATAAATGATGATACCCATTTACATGAAAAATCCCACATCTTCCAAAGTTTCTCCATCAAATGTGATTGGGTTGGTGTTCTCTGTGTTGAATTTGAGGATCTCACTTTTTCCGTGTGTATGTTAAGGCCTGCTGATGCAGAGGCTGCTGCTTCACTAGTTGTCTTCATCTGCATCTATTGGTGTGTATGGGATAGAACAACCAGGTCATCTGCAAAGTACAAATCGTCTAGTTGCAGCATCTAATCTGTTCACTGTATTCCGTATTTCCTCTCAGACAAGGAGGACTTTATAATCCAGTCGACCACCAGAGGAAAGAGAAAGAGGAGAGTATGCATCCTTGTCTGACTCCGGTCCTCAATTGGAATACATCTGTCAGCTGAGCTCCATACACCACTTTGTAGTGTAGTCCGTCATATGAATTCCGGATGATGTTGGCGATCTCAGGTACACCAGTGTCGAGGAAGTTTCCATAGGTTCCTCCTATCCACACTGTCAAACATCTTCTCACAGTCAAAAAAGTTGATGTATGGTGACGAGTTCCATTCAACCGATTGTTCAACGATGATCGGTAATGTCGCGATTCGGTCTGTGCACGTTCGATCCTTACGCAATCCAACCTGTTAATCTTGAAGTTGAGAGTCTACTGAATCTTTCATCCGATTCAGAAATACTCTTTTAGAAAGTTTTCCTGGTACCCATAGTAGTGTGATGCCTCCGTTTCTGAGTTCTTACACTTGCTCAGATTTCCTTTCTTTAGTATCTTAATGAGGTTTCCTTCTTTCCAGTCCATCAGCACTTGCTCTTCCCCCCCCCCCAAATCTTCCTGAATAAAATGTGAAGTATCTTAGGAGTTACTTTTATGTCTGACTTTAGTGCTTCAGCTGGTATATTATCATGTCCTGCTGCTTTCCCACTCTTGATTTATATGAATGCACAGCATAGACTGGAAGAATTCAGCGATTTAGTCTGGAATCTTATGGCCAAAACTTCTTCATATTTGTTAAACAATTATGCTGCATGCTTCTTCACTAATTTCTGAACACTCTACATCGACAACGTGGTCCTGTTCTATCTTCTTAACAAAATGGTATATATGTAGTTCAGAGGTTAAGAGTCTGCGCGCCATACTTGTGATCCTAGGTCCGATTCCCTGCGATGGGGTCATAAATATACATTCCTAAGGAATCCTATACTAGGATGAAAGAACTATTTAGTGCTTTCTGGTTTGGAATAGTGGTCTAGCTAAGATCTATCCATGATTTACAATATGAATATCACATGTGTTTTAGAAATATTTGTAAATATTATAGTGCTCTCATCTGCTGGAATCACCGGGTAAGTAATAGTGAGGTTAGACGCAGAGTATAAGGAAATGATGATGGTAAATCAGTTGATGGGATTGTGAATCTTCATCGACTGAGATGGTTGGGCCACGTGTTACGTATACCTGAACACCGATTACCACGACACACAATACTGGCTAGTGTTGGAGACATATGGAAGAAAGTTAGGGGCAGCCAAACCAAAACGTAGCATCAGTCATTGAAGTCACTAACTTCTGGTCTGATCCATGGTGGTAGATGCAGACTACTTTGGTTGGGGTCCGCGTGACTATCATAACCAATGGTTGGAGACTCTAGATGGCATGGCTCAGAATCGATCACAATGACCTCGGTGTATACACTCTCTGTCTTCTCTTAAACTATGAGATTAAAATCACTTCATATTTTTCTTTCTACGAACTAATTCTTTCTTCCTGTACTATATCCTTATATGCAATCTTTCTTCTCTATATATTACCACCACTGAATTAACTACTTTTATGAATCCGGTGTTCATCTCGCTGTGCTAATAAGTGAGGTATAGCAACTTGGACTGATGTACATATGTACCTGGTTCTACGTTCTAGCTAGCTAACTGACTGACTGACTAACATCATTAATAAATATCATCGAATATAAAATATTTCTTTCCCTAGACTATTCTTTGGTTTTTCTCAAGAATAGAATAGTTTCTTTTTAATTCTCATAAAATGAATCAAATTAAATTATACATAGCAACAAACCTGACGAAGTGCTAAAGATGATCGTTGTTTTGTTGAATTCGAATCATTATTACTATTATTATTACAAGTTACTTGTATTTTGGCTAATTTAGCTTGTAATGATATACGTTCTTCTTCTAATCTACTTATACGTCCTTTAAGTTCATTACGTTCTGTTTCAAATTCATCAATTCGAGTACGTAATCGGCTAATTGCTGCATGCCAACGAACTTCACGTTTACCCATATCAACACGAGATTCTTCAAGCTGAAAAGAGAATAACGGAAAAAAAAATGTATTAAACGAAAATAATCAATAGAAGATAGAGGTAATCTTAAAACACCATCCTTAGATGGGTTCATTATTTATTATTTATTTATTTTAACACATAAGTATAGGTACAGAGAGGCACCAAATACATATGCACCACACAAATCTCAATTGATTTGTGTGAGGGCTGTGATACTGCACGGGTGCCTAAACCGAACCAGGTGGTTTTCTTAGGGGGCCACACCCCGAGCCTTCGACCTGAAGATCTGATCCACAAGGCAGTGGAGCATCGTAAGGAGATGCAGTCCCATGGTAGCCGGTGACCAACGATTGGTTCATACGCCATTTGTTCCTTCAGGATACTGGAGCCAGCCCATGTGCACCATTGGTTTGGGATCCGGTTATAGCGCCGGACATTCGCTTTTCGTCCTCTCATTTTCGTAAACAACACTCCCGCCACGAGAAGGCAGTGAGTAGGACTTCCCTGGCAGAGGCTATATACGCATGGCCATGTGAGAGCATTTGGAGAGGGAGAGCGGACTCTCCTCACTTTCGGCCGTACCAGGGCATTTGGGGGCAGATGGGTTCATGAAAATCAATAATTGGAGAACAATTAACTAAACATAAATATCAGTCACCAAATGCCAAGGAAACAAATCAATATCGGTTAAGATGAATTATCGTTGCATTAAATTATTCAATGTAAACTCTATTCCTGGACTTTCAATAGATTTTTACTATGATTTGTGTCTAGTAACGAGTATAAAGTTCTTTACCATTGACAGATAACTGGTTAAATTAAATCTATTTTCAATAGTCGATATATTTGGGCCATTATCAACAAAGCTTTGATTATTAGATTGATCTTTTCTTCCTTTAATTAGGGGAGCAGAGAAGTAGTCTGATTCATTGTATTAAGTCGAAGTTGCAAAACATTAACTCAGCATACGAATGTATCAGTTACTCATCGTTGTCAATGATTATTAGAATGGTAATTGAATGATCACTGGGTGTATGATTTTTCACGAGCTGAGGGATGGTCTACCTAGATTTATTTATTATTTATTTATTTTAACACATAGGTATTGGTACACGGAGGTACCAAATACATATGAGCCACATGAATCTCAATTGATTTGTGTGAGGGCTGTGATACTGCTCGGGTGCCCAAACCGAAGCAGGTGGTTTTCTTGGGGGGCTACACCCCGAACCTTTGACCTGGACGTCTGATCCACAAGGCAATGGAGCATCGTAAGGAGATACAATCTCATGGAAACCGGTGACCAACGATTGATTCATACGTCATTTGTTCCTTCAGGATACTGGAGCCAGCCCATGTGCACCATTAGTTTGGAATCCGGTTAAAGCGCCGGAAATTCGCTTTTCGTTCTCTCAATTTCGTAAATAACACCCGTGGTGCGAGAAGGCAGTGAGTAGGACTTCCCTGACAGAGGCTATATACGCATGGCCATGTGAGAGCATTTGGAGAGGGAGAGCGGACTCTCGCCACTCTCGGCCGTACCAGGGCATTTTGGGGCGGTCTACCTAGAAATGAGAATATATAACTTAGACGACAAATGATAGTTTGAATATTCGTTAAGGTCAGAGTACATTTTTGCGGAGTAAAAGCTAAATTGTTTTCAAGTATATAGCTTGATTTGTGTTAACAATTGAAGAAGAAAATATCAAGAATTTCGGTAAAAATTCACAGTACTATGAAAAAGTCAACTATATTATTTCGGTCGGATGATAATACAAGTACATGTTAAACTGATCACTTGTCAACAATTAGTCCATTTTGATCAACTGAAATGAAAACTATTGTGATAGACTTTAGAATATGTTGTTCATATACCAATAAGAGACTGATCAATGGCAGTCCTAAACATCAATGGGAAAATTTAAACAAACAATACAAAATGAATTAAAAGTTCGTTCCATTGCATAAGCAGCTAATGGTCATCAAGACTCAGTAACTAAGTGGATGGTGCGATAGGGTTTGAAGCGAACGGTACTGAATCCGAGTCTCGGAGTGAACACCAACTGTAGGATGCTGGTGTATCCAGGACGAAACGCGAGTCCTGGATTCCACTGCTAGCCACCATCCATCTTTGCTTATTTATAGTAAGTTGTAAAAGTTTAGCACCAAGAAAATATTCCACATTCCTTTGAATTTCTTTTATAGCCCTAAATTTCCGGGACGTTTACAAATAAATATGGTCGATTGTTACTGAGAACTTAAGATATTGGAAAAAATTGATAATATTGATTAATAATTAAGTAAACATACTTCTTGTTTAAGTCGTTCAATTTCTTCACGATCTTTCTTGTTCGGCATAGTTCTTAGAGCACGTTGATATTCTTCTAATACACGTCTTTCCTTTCTAGAAATCAATAGAGTATTAATACATGAGAACTTGAATGTATCTGAGTATTGTGATCAAATCTTTATGAAACAATATTAGTAGCGCATATATCCATAAAATAAAGCACAGCAAGTGATAATTTTCATTTGATGGAAGTTGGATGATGAAATTGTGGAGTGGGTAATTACACTAAATAGACAACTTCACTTATTTTGGTAGGAGACGAAATCTCGATAAGGATTCAAAATGTTCGCTTGCCTTTATTCAACTTACGTCGTCTGTAGTGTAAGCGATAGTATTCGTCTGTCTATGAAAGAGTGAGCATACTGTTCAGGACTCTTCTTCCTTATAATTTATGGTTGTGAAATATGGTATTTGGAAGTAGAAAATATCCATAGGTTAGTAGTATTTAGATACATATGTTTTCCAAGAACTGCCCATATATGGTGGAACAACTGAAACATTAATGCTGATGTTAGATGTCGAATACTCGAGGTAGGTTGCAAGCCGGCTGCTGAATTTGTGGAGAATCATCAACTGAGGTCACTGATGCATGTGTCTTACATGCCTGATTACTGTTTACATCGACACGCAATACTTGCTAAGACATAAGTAAATTAAAAGAAAGGTAGGAGCACCTAAACCAACACGTAACACGGCTCCATGAAAGTACAAACCTCTTGATTGGAATATGGATAAGAATCATAAACATTGATTAGAAATCTAAGATTGAATTACTCAAAATCCGTTTAATTACCTCAGAAATTTCCAATAACAACAATATTATTAGTCCTGGTAGAAAAGATCAGGCATCGAAGGTATGATCCGAGAAAATATGAGTTAGTGAAATAAAAGAGTTGAGAGGGGTTTGGAAATTTAGGATTTAAGGGAGGGCTAACAGTGAATGCATCCGAGTTATTGAAAATGATTCCGAGGCATTTTACCCGAAGTCTATAACTATTGGTCACGATAATCATGAAGACTCCAAACACGTAGTCTGGACCCAACTTTATGTCTCAGTTCAATAGTTAGTGTCTTCATAGAATGGTGTTATATCTTGGTTCTGCTGACATTAACTTTCTCCCAGGCTATTCTTACACTAGCCATCATTGCCCATCGAATTATTCCATGGATTGGCATACGTAATACATGCCCAAACCATCTCAGATGTTAAAGATTCATCACCTCACCAATTGATTTGCCATACTTAGCTAGTACTCTGCTTCTGAACTCAGAATGTTTACTCAATGGTCCCAAAATATACGACCAGTGGTTCGTAAACACCTATAATTAAATACTAGTAACCTACGAAAGTCCTCTAATTTTAAAGACCACCTTTTACAGCCGAAACGTAGAACAGAGTGAACTGCTGAACAATAACACAGTATACTCGTTCTTTAGTTAGCAAACGGATATCTTATATACATCACTAGTGATGCAAGTTGGTGGAAGTTAATCAAGATTTCGTCACATACCAACTCACAAAGCCTTCTGAGATTTCTAAAATAAGTAAATTAATCGATACACGCAACTACTTCTCTCTATACTCTTAGTTTAGGCGCTCTTGCAGACCAGTAATGAATTAACATATTATACTTAGAGAAAAAGAATCACATTCCAAACGTATTTGCATTTTGTCAGATTCTTCATCAAACAATATCATCTGCATATTCTAAGTCGACAAAATAATTTCCAGGTAGAAGATCGATTCTTGAGAAGTTAAACGATGACAAATTTAGGTAAAACTGGGATGAGAGAACAACCTTGACGAACAACACTTGAAGTAGTGTACTGAGAAGCCGTGACCAGTGCAGCTAATCCGTGCCGGGTAGAGACAGGTATTTACCTCAGTACAATAGAACATGGTCGCGCAACTTCGTGGATTGGTTGAGGTTAGACATTAACACCATTAGATGCCAGCTCAGTGGTCCAGTAGGTTAAGCGTTCGCGCGCGAGACTGAAGACCCTGGATTCGAATCCTGCGAGCGGGATCGTGGGTGCGCACTGTTGAGGAGTCCCGCAATAGGACGAAACGTCCGCCCAGTGTTTCCAGGTTTTTAATGGTGGTCTAACATCAATCGGTTCATGATCTCAATCCAAAACTTAAAGACTTGAGTCGATGAGTGAATATTGTGTCAGGTCGTAAGAATCGCTTCATGATCAAATGACTATCAGATATGATAAGCATATATATACACGTTAAATGTAATAGTAAATAACTAACTTTAATTTTCTAATCTCATTCTCTTTGTATTCTTCGAATTCTTTTCGCTCCTTAGTTTTGTTCTCGTCAAAACGACTTTTTTCCAATTCAAGTTGACGTAAACTCTTTAAAATAAAGTACACAAATATAAAATAAACTACTATTTTTTGTTGATGTTGAGAAGAAAATGCAATCTACATTGTTGAAATAAAAGATTTGTGAAGGTTATTCAATTTGAAAGTTGATATCATGTATTAGGCTCGATTCCTGGTGGGGTTATGTTATAACTTGTGACCTGTGTGCCCTGTTTATTATTATTGTTATTATTTGAACACATAGATATTGGTATAAGGAGGCACCAGATACATATGCACCACACAGATCTCATTTGATTTGTGTGAAGGCTGTGATACTGCACGGGTGCCTAAACCGAACCAGGTGGTTGTTTCAGGGGGCCACACCCGGAGCCTTCAACCTAAAGTTCTGATCCACAAGGCAGTGGAGCATCGTAAGGAGATGCAGTCCCATGGTAGCCGGTGACCGACGATTGGTTCATACGCCAGTTGTTCCCTCAGGATACTGGAGCGCATGTGCACCATTGCTTTGGAATGAGGGTTTTCCAACTCCTCTAGATGAACTCTCCATGTCCATCAACCCGGTTAAAGCGCCGGACATTCGTATTTCATCTTTTCAATTTCGTAAAGAACACTCGTGTTGCGAAAAGGCAGTGAGTAGTACTTCCCTGGCAGAGGCTATATACGCGTGGCCATATGAGAGTATTTCGACAGGGTGAGCGGACTCTCCCCACTTTCTGCCGTACCAGGGCATTTGGGAGCAAGCACCCAATTGCGTCACAAGGTAAGTCCTCACATGGAATCCTCAAGGCCAAAGGAAAAGAGGAGGATCAAAGAACACATTACGTCTAGAAATGTAGACAGACATGAGAAAAATGAACAACAATAGGATAAAACTGGAAAGGAAGGCCTAGGACAGAGTGGGTTGGAGAATGCTGGTCGGCGGACTACGCTCCATTAGGAGTAACAGGTGTAAGTAAGAAAAACAATGAAATAGAAAGGATATGAACTGCAAATATTAAAACTTACATCTTGAGCTTCTATTTTCAATTTATTTAAATTAGCATTTTCTACTTTAAAACGTTTAACTTCTGCTTCCAATCTATTAATCCATTGTTTTAAAGTAGTTTGATCACTATTAGTTGTACTATTCTGATTACTGGGATTCTATTCAAATACAACAATAATAAATATGATCAGCATAAATCAATCTACTGAATATAATGTTCACTAGTATTTATAGTCAAGAATAATTCCTGAAGTAATGATGGCTGTAAGATAAGACCGAATAAACCAAGACATGATGTGGGACCATGATATCACTGATTGTCGGAATCAGTCACGTAAGTGGGTGAAAGTTGAGGTCCATGTAATTATCTTAACCGGTGATTGAAATAGGTGATATGGATCAGACACGTTCATTCACTATCTTCCTTCGTACGTAACTTTTCATTTCTTCATCTCCGGTATTCCACACCACTGGTGTAACCACATTTATTTTGATTTAGCGCTCGAACTTTGATTTTTCAACATCTAAGCAACCAGTGTGTTATTTATTTTTATTTATTTATTTTAACACATAGGTATAGGTACAAGGAGGCACCAAGTACATATGCGCCACACGAATCTCAATTGATTTGTGTGAGGGCTGTGATACTGCACGGGTGCCCAAACCAAAGCAGGTGGTTTTCTTTGGGAGCCACACCCCGAACCTTTGACCTGGACGTCTGATCCACAAGGCAATGGAGCATCGTAAGGAGATACAATCTCATGGAAACCGGTGACCAACGATTGATTCATACGTCATTTGTTCCCGCAGGATACTGGAGCCAGCCCATGTGTACCATTAGTTTGGAATCCGGTTAAAGCGCCGGAAATTCGCTTTTCGTTCTCTCAATTTCGTAAATAACACCCGTGGTGCGAGAAGGCAGTGAGTAGGACTTCCATGGCAGAGGCTATATACGCATGGCCATGTGAGAGCATTTGGAGAGGGAGAGCGGACTCTCGCCACTCTCGGCCGTACCAGGGCATTTGGGGGCAACCAGTGTGTTAGTTGACAATTACGTAGTGTGATTTATCTGGACATCAAGAAATTAACTATTCTTGTCGACAAATAAATTCAGATAAAGTTTTATTACCAACGACAACAGTCAATCCATTGAAATCCTTGACAAATGAACAGATTTGTTGTCAATCTAACAAAAATAATGGTGAACCGATTGATGTTAGAGCACCATTGAAAACCTGGAGGCACTAGCAGTGCGCATCCACTTCTGAGGAGTCCCACAATAGGACGAAACGGCCGTCCAGTGCTTCTAGGTTTTCAATGATGGTCTAACATCTATCGGTTCATGATCTCAATCAAAAACTTGACAATCTCCACAACACCTAAATTGATAACAATAATGGTGTTAAAGAAATTTTATTACCTAATGGTCAATATGAAATTCATTCTAGTTCAGAGATTAAAGTTAGTTGAATTATGTGTACAAGTGACTTTAGTTTGTATACGTTGACTGATAAACTGGGTTATTGAAGTCAAGTTTAAACCCCTGAAGTCCTAGTGGGATTCAATCACGTCGCATATGAGAGCCCAATATTATGAATAATATTGAATAATGGTTGTGCTCTATTTTAAAACAGACTAAAGTTGAAACCGAAAACCATTAGGTACCAGTTCAGTTGGTTTACAAGTATCATATTCATCACAAGACCTGAAGTGACGATTCCTAGTGATATTTGGGATTTGTGTTCATCCAGGAAGTCCCATACTAGCACGAAACAGAATTAAGTAACTAATATTATCTTCACTGGTTGAAATCATGAATCAATTGAAGCTAGACCACCATGGAAAACCTGGAAGCACTGGACGACCGTTTCGTCCTAGTATGAGACTCCTTAGTAGTGCCGTTACACAATAACACCATTGGATGCCGACTCAGTGGTCTAATGATTAAGCACTCGCGCGCGACTGGTAGATCCTGGGTGTAAATCTCGTTGGGGGGGAAACGGGATCATGGATGCGCACTGCTGAGGAGTCTCACACTAGGACTAAATGGCCGTCCAGTGCTTCCAGGTTTTCCATGGTGGTCTAGTTTCAATTGATTCATGATTTCAACCAATGAAATTTCTAAAATCTCCACACAATCCCTTATGATAAAATAGTTTTTTGTTTAGTATATTGTAACATCATTGATCCAAAACATACATAGAGATAAGCAAATAGTGATTCAGGTTACCAGAAAATTGTGGATTAATTCGGATTAATTAGACAACTGGAGAGTGGAACAAGTATTTGTAGAGGATTATTTCCATCGACAACTGATACTAGTTAAAGAAGAATCAAGGAATACTGAACAATTTATCTTTTGGTCCTAGTTTAAAACCTCTTGACAGTGAATATCTGAAAAAGTCAACGAACTCAAAAGCTTCAAGTCTCTTAATATCTTTAAGACCTTTAATTCAAAATAAATCCAATATTCGATGCTAAATTTCAATTGGTTCGTGATATACCGCAATGATCATGCAACATCATTATTCATATGTTTCAATGATGAATTCTATCAAATTATGATTTTCCATTGGAATTTGAAAAGCTATCTGGTTGATAAGTTAGTAATGGGGGCACCAGGTGATATGGTTTAATGTACGATACGATACACATAACCAAGTCTGTGTAAGCATCTGTACGCTCTCCAATCATCCGTATATACTGTAATACCTGGCTGCAGCCAGTGTTACTGGTGCTTTTATCATCCAGTTCGAAATAATTGTCATAATTTGCCGTAGTTAGAAATTATATATGGGGGTTCCATCACGAACTGATATCAGCTATAAATGCCAGAAATCTATTTAGCCAAATGGATAAAAGGCTTTCGCGCCAAAATCCAAGATCTGTTATTATACTTGATTAATTCGTTCACAAATTATAGTCTCACCGTTTTATTTGTTATAGCCGTTCAATTATCACGTTTTGTACGAAATTCCCTGTGAACCGATCGTACGTCAGCATTAAGTACTGAATTTGGCACCGTAACCTTGAAATCTCTCAAACGCTTCTGGATGGTTCGTCTATAAATTAGAGTCTCACCTTATATATACTATAATCCTTAGTCCTAAACCTTAAATTTTTATAAAGATTTCAGTGAAATATCACTTCATTTCATTGTTTTTTGAATTAACTAACAATCATTTCAATTCCGAATTCACAGATAAGTATTCTTATCACCAATTCAACGGAATATAAAGATAAGACAGTGCTTTCCTTATTAAGATTAACCGTTGATAATCATTATCTAAGTTTAATATTTGTGTCAAAACTGTGAAATTACTCCTTTGCCCGTAAATCTTAGGACCACTGGAAAAGTAACGCAGTTGTTAGAAAACGAGTACTAGGTAACGATGGCAAATCAATTGACGAAGTAGTAAAACTTCATCAGTTGAGATGATTTGGACACCTGTTACGTATGCCCAACTACCGACTGCCCCGACATGCGATGTCTTATGGTGTAGGAGTAGGTTGGAAGAAAGCTAGGGGCGGCCAGATCAAAACATGGCACAAATCCATGAAGTCTCTGACAAATGGATTGAGCCATGTGGGCAGGTGTAGACTACGTGGTTGGGGTCCGCGAAACGATAGCAACCTATGGTTAGAGATCTTGAATGACATGGCTCAAAATCATTTGCAATGGTGCAGGTGCATCCACTCTTTGTGTTCTCCCAAATTCTAATCTTTTGAATCCTTATTGTCTCTTTTTTTCTCTTTCCAAATCTATTCCACTGGTTTATACTCCTTGAATAACATCTTCAAACCCTAATTTTTCCGATTACTGCTTATACTTTTACTACCTCTACCACTATTGAATTTGAATCAACAACTGCATCTCTGTTCTAATATGGTATGGCAACTCGAACTGATGTACGTACGTACGTACGTACGACTTCCTTGGTCCTGATCGATTTGTCATCATATTGAAACGTGGCTTCATTCAAAAAAAAGGAATAAAAGATCCAGACATACCTGTTCATTAATTAACTGTTCATTATTAATTAATTCATTCACAGAATTGATGGACTCATTATGACTATTAGAAGAAATAGATTTCTGATTGTATTTAATAGTTTCCGAGGATTTTTTAATACAAATATCATGATTAATTTTATTCATAGAAGAACTAATACTTTGAATAGCCTTGACAGATTGATCAGGCAATGAAGAATTAATTTTATTTGAAGTAAATGTTGATGTGGAACGAACAAGTGTTGATTCATTTGGTTGATTTATAAAATCATCTATAAAATAAACATTATGTAATAATGAAATCATTCAACTTTGATTTAAGCTTAAAGTGTCATACATTAAGTATTATTTAACTCTTCTAATGTCTATCATTATGATATATAATGATGATGATGATGATGATGATGATGGTGGTGGTATTCAATAATTAGGTACAGCTAAATACATCAAACTATGAATCGTATTTTCAATGGTTGAGATCATCAGTCAGTTGAAGCTAGATCACCATGGAAAACCTGGAAGCACTGGATGGCCGTTTCTTCCTATTATGGGACTCCTCAGCAGTGCACATCCACGACCTCGTCCCCTGCGAGACTCAAACCTAGGACCTACTGGTTTTGCGCGCTAGCACTTAACCACTAGACCACTGAGCCAGCTGGCATCCAACGGTGTTAATGTCTAACTTCAACTAATCCATGAAATTGAGCGACACATCCACCATTGTCTTCAGTGAGTTACTATCTCACAACAGACCTGGTTGAACTCTACTGGTCACTACTTCCCACTAGAACTCCAGGATCATATTATTGGGATGATCCAGAAATTTTCTCGCAAAAGACAAACAAGGATCAGGAAAACACTAGGAAGCATTTTATCCAATCAGCGTTCACTTGAAGTTTAACCAGAAACATCAAGAAAGTGAAACGTCACATGTAGAGTTTCTGACTGGTTGATTACTATCCTGTTACTATATTTAGAAGCATTCCAAAATCTTCGAGAAATGCAAGGACATCTAAAATACTATAAAAACCCTATATTTTCTGTATTTAAATGAACCTTTGAAGTAAAGTGCTTTTCACATACCTTGCGCCTTTTCCCTGGTGTTCAGGTCGCTGTATAGTTCTAGCTTGGGGGTTACGAGAATAGCTTAGGAACAGAATATAGCGTTCAATTAGCAAGACTTATCACTTATCTATTGCATTATAGTCACTGATAATATTGAAAACACTTTCCATTAGCTAAAAAAAAAACTTTATACAGTTCATACCCTTCATAAAAATGAATAAAGCAAGTATAACAATCGTAGAAGAACAGTTTACGAATTCATTTATTGCATAGATTCTACTTTAGTAGTTTACAAATTATAAACAATAATACTCATCATTAAAAAGTAAAACAAACATACATACATTATGTAAGAACAGTTGTGATTAGTTAGGTTTAATATATGGAGATGTAGATTAATAAACGACAATTAATTGTGGAAGTGTGTTTGAACAAATCCTTGTGTGTTAACTGCCTGTTTGTTCACAGTCAGTCAGTCAGTCAGCTACAACGTAGGATCAGGCACATATATGCATCGGTCCAAGTTGCCATACCTCATTAGCACAACAACATGAACACCAAATTCATAGAATTAGTTAATTCAATGGTGGTAACATATAAAAGAAAGATTATTTATAAGGAAATAGTACAGGAAGAAAGAATCAGTTGGTAGAAAGAAAGATATGAAGCGATTTGTTCACATTCAGTGACTAATCATAATTTACCTTTAGAATGGGGTTCGTGGAGGTTGTATTAATTTTAATAGTTGAATTCATGAGTTGATGTAAGCTGGACCACCATTGAAAACCTGGAAGCACAGGATGTTCGTTTCGTCTCGGTATAAGGCTCCTCAACAGTGTGCACTTACAATCCGGCATGAGTGACTGGGACCCAGGACCTGTTTTGCGCGAAAATACTTAGTCTCTAAACCAGTGAGCCAGTATCCGACGATGTTAATTTCTAACTTCAATAGATCCATGATCTTGCGCAACCATTCATCCATTGTCTGAGGTAGATATCTGTCTTTACCCGATACGGATTGGACTCTACTAATCATGAATTCAACTATCAAGATATTTTACTTTTACTGATACACATAAGAATATATAAATACACATGATAAGATGCTTCTACAGTAAGTTTTATATCCTCTATGTCATCTGATAGTTTTATGTTATATAGATTATTGTTAATCTATCCTACCCTATCTTATCTTTTATTGTTTATTCTAACTGTATACTTATTTTTCCGAATTAATTGATGTATTTCTTAACTCTTCTCGTGTTTCTACTCTCCTTTATTTTCAATTCTATCATTATAGCCAACAACTGCCCGATAACATGATAGCTGCTGATTTCAGCAACTTCCCTTCCCTGGAGCACTTCTTCATACATATGTAAACGATAAAAATCTCAAAACAACTGTCAAACACTAGTGGAGTCGAGTGGTTGCACTATCCATATTAGATGTTTTTAAACATCTAAAATTGTCCCATGATAGCAAAGAAACCAGCTTGATTACGATGAGATATTGAATATTATTAAACTTACCACAATTAGTAAGTGATACTTCAGACAAATTATATCCAGTTAACAATTTTGCATCGTTGATATCTGTAGTACTGAAACTCCATGAATGTGAATCATCGAAATCATAGTCTTCAGGAGTTGAAGAACTGAATTGTTTTATCGAATCCAACTGATGTTCGTTAGACAATTCCAATTGTTGATTATTTATTACTGATGATTGTGATTGATTACATGGTGATTTCACTACATGAAAACGTGTTACTTTACATTGATTATCCATTGAACCTGGAATACCCAATATACTTTCGACATTACAGTCATTACTGTTATTATTAGGCAAATTGAAATTTATTGCCGTTTTAGCATCATGTGATCCACCTGTGAGACGATTTACTGCATCGTCTCGATGAATTTTATCTTCAATTAAAATATCATCTTTGACTGAATGTCTCGAATGGATTTGAACATGTGAACTTGGTTGCCTAAAACATAAGAGCAAAGGAATAATGGGAAGGGAAAGGGGGGACAAAGTAGTTTTTAATTTTCAGCGAGTGCGATCAATCCTAAAGTGGTTTGTGGAAACTGTTGAATTTCATAATTCGCATAACGAACTGATCTTAGTCAGACAACCATTGAAAGCCAGGAAGTACTGAACTCCTATTTCTTTCTAGTGTAGTACTCCTCCAAAAGGGTACACCTATGACCCTATCAGGGATCGAGCTTAAGCTCTCTCAAGGTCCAGCAACACATATTCAGATACACTAAAAACAGTTTATTCCATATCATGAATATGAAAAATCGACTTCAGCAGCCTGAACAAAATATACGAATATGATCACAGTAGCTTCCATCCCACCCAATACCTGTCGACCTTGGGATCGGATATACTATGCGAAGAGGTGGTTTGGTCATGATGTGAAACCGTGGTATAACAAAAAAAGATATAATAAACTATCAACTATCAGGCCATCACAACTCCTTAGTAGTCTGTCTAAAGGATACACAACTCGACAGCTTAAGACTTTAAGTGAACAAGCTCGAAAATAGAAGGCAATAGAGATCTTTCCATATATTTCCACGAAATTCTTCATAAAAGTAAGATGAACCCTTTTGTTTAGAATAAATCTTTCATCATTAGATTCTTATATAAACTTTATCATCAATAAATACAATACTCGTATATTTACTTAACGATTATACAACCATTCTTTCTGTTTTCTACAATCTTATCATCTGATTTATATGACCCATTTACGATACCCTATTGTACTTGAATTTATGAACAATAAGTCGAAAAATTCACTTGGTTCTTCCCATTGATGTTTAGGACTGCAATTGATCAATCAGTCTCTTATTGACATATGTACATACTATGGGTGAATCGCCTCGATTATTACATTAATTCATAAGTATTTTAATCAAAGGTCAACAAATAAATAAATAAGTAATCTATTTTAATGTCAGAAGGGGTTTTGGGTGAGACTCTAATTTATGAACGAGCCATTCAGAAGCGTTTTGGCGATTTCAAGGTCACGGCACCAACTTCAGTGCTTAATGCTAATGTACGATCGGTTCACAGGGAATTTTGTACAAAATGTGATAATTGAGCGGCTATAACAAATAAAACAGTGAGACTATAATTTGTGAACGAATCAATCAAGTATAAGATAACATCACGGATTTTGATGCGAAAGTCTTCCATCCATTCGGCTAAATAGACTTTTGGCATTATAGCTGATGTCAGCTCGTGATGAAAACCCCATATACAATTTCTAACTAAGGCAAATTACGACAGTTATCGCGAACTGAATAATAAAAGCACCAGTAACACTGGCTGCAGCGAGGTACTACAATATATACGGATGTTCGGAGAGCTTACAGACTCCTACATAGGCTTGGTTATGTGCATCGTGTCGTTATCCACAAATATCATTTTGTGTACTCAGCAACCGAAGTGCACATAAGCAATATTGAAGCTATGTGGTCGAGGATGAGAGTTTTTGAGACTTTGTCATGGCTGCAGAGGCCGACTATTTTGTAGCCATATGGATGATTTCCTCTACTGCATTCATTACGATTTTAGAACCTGTGAACCTCTTTCTAACCATGACAAGTTTTTGAACCAGGTATAAGAAATGTATCCACTTTAATACTTTGGTTTTTTTCATAATATATTTCAACTCTATACTTACTGTTTGCTGATTGGCTAATGTTTCTTAAGGTCGTTCAGAGATCGTTCATAAATTGTAGTCTCATCGGGGTTTTGTGGAGATTGTAGTAATTTTAATAGTTGAGATCATGAATCAATTGAAGCTTAACCACCATGGAAAACCTGGAAGTACTAGACGGTCGTTTCGTCCTATTGTGGGACCCCTTAGCGCTGCGAATCCACAACCCCACCTCGCGAGATTCCAACCCAGAACCACTGAGCCGATCAACATTTAACAGTGTTAATGTCTAACTTTAATTAATCCATGAAATTGATCGATACATCCATCATTGTCATTAATGAGTTACTATCTCATAACAGGTCTGACTGAACTCTACTGTTCACTGTTTCTCACTAGAACTCCAAGATATATTGATTCATATCAGAAAAGGGATGTTTTGGATATTATAATAATTTTAATAATTGAAATGTAAACATAATAAAATATTATAAATTACCTGATATTTATTGATTCATTAGAATGATCACAAATTATTGATAACTGATCTGATCTCATTTTATCTTTTAGTTGTTTTTTTTTTGTATCTTTATTATTATTATTATTATTATTATTATTATTATTATTATTATTATTACATAAAGATGTTTCAATAAATTCTTCAAGGAATTCAAATTCTTTTAAATCAATTTCATCTTTATTTATTTCATTGAGATTAGTATGAATAGATTCCATGGATGTTGATCTAATTGGATCTTGATAAGATTTATGATTATGAATATGTTTAGATTTTTCAATATTATTATAATTTTCATCTTTTATATTTAATGTATGAATAGTCGTTGTATGGTTTGAGTTGATAGAATTCATTTTATTAAATGATTGATGATATTGTAAATAATTTGGATCTTTAATAGTAGATGGAATGAAAACATCATTATTGAGAGAAGTTTGTTGTGAATTTGATTTTGATAACTATTTAGAATAAGAAATAAAACATAAGATTCATTTATGTTATCTAAGAAATGATTAAGTTTTAATGGACCAGGATGTGATTCCAAGTAGATCATATAAATGTTTGTTATTGTCTATCCTCGTATATAATCATCAACTTAAATCACGTTACGTGAATAATGAAATTAAATGCCCTGGTACGGCAGAGAGTGGGGAGAGTCCGCTCACCCTCTCGAAATGCTCTCACATGGCCACGCGTATACAGCCTCTGTCAGGGAAGTCCTACTCACTGCCTTCTCGTGGCATTACTGTTGTTTACGAAAATGAGAGGACGAAAACCGAATGTCAGGCGCTTTAACTGGATCTCAAACCAATGGTTCACATAGGCTGGCTGCAGTATCCTGAGGGAACAAATGGCATATGAACCAATCGTTGGTCACCGGCTACCATGGGACTACATCTCCTTACGATTCTCCACTGCCCTGTGGGTCAGACCTTTAGGTCAAAGGCTCCGGGTGTGGCCCCCTAAGAGAACCACCTGCTTCGGTCTGGGCACCCGTGCAGTATCACAGCCTTCACACAAATGAAATGAGGTCTGTGTGGCGCATATGTATTTGGTGCCCTCTTGTACCAATATCTATGTGTTAAAATAAAAATAATAAAAAATAGTCAAATAACGAGAATGGACTTTTGAATACATATATTTTGGATATGAAGCGAATAGAATAGACAGAAGCAAAACAACACATAGTGGAGGTGGCGGGTCAGTCAGTCAGTCAGTTACAACGTAGGACCAGGCAAATATATGTATCGGCTCAAGTTGCCACACCTGATTAACACAACAAGATGAACACCAAATTCATAGAAGTAATCAACTCAATGGTGTAATATATAGAGGATAGATTGCATATAAAGACATAGTACAGGAAGAAAGTTAGTTCATAGAAAGAAAGATATGAAATAATTTTAGTCTCATATGATGAATAGGATAAGAAATGTACACACATATATGCGCTCATATAAAAACAGTCAAGATTGATAAGCGGATAATTAACAAGGTCAACATATGACTCAAGTAAAATGAATAGGTTGGCCTGTCCGAAAGCTAGAATAGGGTATATGGGCTTAACATGTTAACCGACACTACAAAGACAAATTAAATAGTAAGTAGGTTTAACTATGGCTTTTTCAAATAGTAGGTAGATCACTCAAATAAATAGCTAAATTGACTTTTAACCTATTTAACATACTAATACTTAATTAAGTTCCCAGTATATTATTCTCGTAATGTTAAAATGGTATACATTCTTTGAAATATCTGGAACGTGCGGCTTCTGGGCGGATATCGTATGTAGATGGCTTAGCAGGCCAGTGAAGCAGAGGTGTTAGACGTCCCAGGTGCCGGATGGGTATCAGAATTTGGTACCCCGGCAGGTCGACGGATTTATGGAGGTCAGCGCGCTTCAGACTCGACATTTTGATGGAGAGCGTGGCACAAATTGCAGAGAAGAAAAAGGTGGCACGGCGAGCAGAACCACTACAAGAACGAATGCTTTAAAGGGGGGACGAGTGTGTGGTGTGGGTTACTTATATTCATATAAGTAGTATATAACGATGGTCAAGCATAGAATGTATTTTAGTAGGAGGTCGATGAGGAAAGAACGGGAACGGAATGCGACTAGTATGAAAACGCATGAACAATGAAATATGAGACAATGGATTGATGTTGGAGACAGTTGGACGAAAGTTGGGGATGGCCAAACCAAAACATGGCATCAGTCACTGAAGTCATTAACTTCAAGCCTGACCCATGTTGGTAAATGCAAACTATTTGGTTGAGGTTTGCGTGACTATGGTTGGAAACTCCATGTGACTTGGCTCAGAACCAATCACAATGGCGTCAGTGTATACACTCTTTGTCTTCCTTAAATTGTGAGATTAAAATTACTTTATACCTTTTTACGAACTAATCCTTTCTTCCTGTATTATATGCTTATATACAATCTTTCTTTTACATATCATTATAACTGAAGTAACTACTTCTATGAATTCGGCGTTCATCTTGTTGTGCTAATGAGGTGTGGCAACTTCGACCGATATATATATGCGCCTAGTCCTACGTTGTAACTGACTGACTGACTATTGTGTATTATTTTCTTATGAAATTAGTGATGCAAAAAAGAACAGGCCTAGATTAATTGAGTATACAGTAGGATTTTAACAAAAAGCACATGAATCATCTCACATTTCTGTTCACGAAAAAATGTTACTTTAAAGTGCACAACATTTGGATGCTTCCTACATTCAACATCCTCATACATTCAACCTAAAAGTTAATAATAATGATGCTTAAAAGAATTAATCTCGTGGATACCTTCGTAATATTTTCAAGTGCTGAATGTGTTTGTTTGTAAAAAAATGTATGTCAAAGTTCAATTTCTAATCATTAGGTTGCATCTTTTAAAGTATATTCAGTTACGTCCTATGACTGATTATGCTACAAACAATGTTTCTTTCACAATCAAGTACACTACAGCTGTTTGATTTCCAAAACCCAAGTGATAGACTTAAACATAATCTGATAACTCATGTCAAATTATAACCTATCGTATAGATCAAACAGTCAGGCATATGTAACTTCAAAATCTGACAAATATATACATCGGTCCAAGTTGTCATACAACATTAACAAAGCGAGATAAAATTATTTTAAGACTAATATCAGAGTAGTAGAAGTAGTAACAGTATCAATATTAGGAAAAAAGATTAGATACAGAAAAAAATAAAAAAAAGTTGGACGGAAATCTCGTGACATACAGTTCAAAACTGTTAAAATATTAGATCATACTTTGTGTAAACATATTACATAAGCGACTATAGTAATAATAGAAATATCTTAAACGAATAACAGAATTAGCTAAACTTTTCTTACCATAATTAAAATATACAAGGCTTATATTCATAAGAAGTGTTTCCACTATATTTATTTTGATTAAATCAGTAACCAAAGGCTGTGAGTATGTGCTCAGTATTGAGTAATACTATTTCATAAAGCACATTATAGAATTTCTTACGTATTGTTATTATTTGGATTATTTATTATTTTAACACATAAGTATAGGTACAGGGAGGCACCAAATACATATGCGCCACACAGATCTCAATTGATTTGTGTGAGGGCTGTGATACTGCACGGGTGCCCAAACCGAAGCAGGTGGTTTTCTTAGGGGGCCACACCACGAGCCTTTGACCTGAACGTCTGACCCACAAGGCAGTGGAGCATCGTAAGAAGATGCAGTCCCATGGTAGCCAGCCGGTGACCAACGATTGGTTCATACGCCATTTGTTCCCGCAGGATACTGCAGCCAGCCTATGTGCACCATTGGTTTGGGATCCGGTTAAAGCGTCGGACATTCGCTTTTCGTCCTCTCATTTTCGTAAACAACAGTAATGCCACGAGAAGGCAGTGAGTAGGACTTCCCTGGCAGAGGCTATATACGCATGGCCATGTGAGAGCATTTCGAGAGGGAGAGCGGACTCTCCCCACTCTCGGCCGTACCAGGGCATTTGGGGGCCATTATTTGGAACTTACACTAGAAATAACTAGGCATTCGTACTCCAAAAATATATGAAATTACTAGCACAGGGTTGAATGAATGCTAGTTACAATTTAGTGCTTAAAATCTCCTGGCATAAATAATTCTTCTAAATGCTTGGAGAAACAATTTGAGAGGATAACATCAACAGAAGACTTAGTATTTAGACATTTTGTAAAACGACTATAATCAACTGGTGAGTAAAGACCAAAGCATTTTATTTTTCACAAACAAGATACGAGATAGTTTTCTAAATATAAATATATACAAATACAAAATTTTATAGGTTCGAATGTGGGACATAAAAATGCGGCAGACGTTAATCCATATTCAAAATTCGAAAACATCAAAATCATTAGGATGGGTAAAAGAGTGAAGAAATACTTACGTCGGATTGTTTTTTCGATGCAGTTTTCCGAACAATTGGAATTTGCGGCGAATTTTTACACTGACGCTTGAGCAACTCTGCTGCTGGATCAGTAACTGGTAATCCCTGCTTTCGTAGTCTACTACACCAAGCAGATACACCTTGATGTCGCTTCAGGAAAGAGATGGGCTTTTTCGAAGATATGGGATTTTTAGTCGGATTTTTCACATTAGTGTTGTCGGGATCACCATCACAGTCCTAGTAAATAGTCAGAAATTAATAACTTTAGCAGCAGCTACGGGAATTGTTTTTGAAATTCCCCATTTGAAGATAGAATTTATAAACCCAAAAATTTGAATATATTTACTCATAAGTAACCTTAAGATTCATGAAACTCTGATTCAACCTGTTTTATAAGCTGTTTTCAATCAATTATTAGTTAGTAATAATAGGAATACAGGTTTCGCTGAGAGATGATATAAAATGGAAAAGCATTTACAACTATGAAGGATTGAGCTGGCATTTCCGAATGTAGTGAGACTACTCAGTGGTTTGGAGCCTCAACCTTACATGATTTACAACCCGGTACATCAACGTAGGTTTACACAACATCCAGGATGGGATATAAGTATAGTATGAAGTAGGAGTTACTTACCACTGAAAATATCCTCTCAGAACCACTTGCACTGTTGAGAATCCCTTTAACGCTTTCAAAATTCTTTTGTTCAAAAATAATAAGTATAATTACATTATATTCAACTTACATCACTTGTTTTGTCCGACAAGCATATATTAGTTGATGTCCGGTGATCATCTACAAAATGTATGATGCTAAAAAGATAGTACCTTCTGAGTTAAACTGGGGTCCAAAAATCTGAGATAAAACGTTTGTTTCTAAACTAGCAATTACCAACCTTAACTTCACTGTTATTGCTGCAAACCTCCGAATTTAACATTGGTACAGTTTCGCATGGCGAAGCATTCTCTCCACTCACAAATATTCCACTTTTAAGCGTATCTTCAGGAGTGTACTCCAAGTGAACACCTGACTTAGTGATCCAAGAGACTGAAGGACTAAATATTTCATGACGGTTGACATATTCAATCATCACCACGATTTAGTAAACAAATTTCAAAGATGCACTATTTTTTCAGAATTACCTTTATGTAGTAAAACATGCGCCTCAATATCTGGGTAGTTTATAGCCTATTTTACAAGGGTTAGTTTGAGAGTGATATTTCAGTGAAAAAAATTGTTTCATTTCAAGGCTATGAACCAAACAGTTTGAAACGTTTGATGAACACGTTATCGGATTTTTGGTAATGAGTTGCTGTGAACCCGTTGATTTGTTTCTCCTTACACCTTATTGTTCTCTATGGACATTTGGATTTTGATATATTTCATGGGTTTAGTGAGTCTCACTTCCTCTTTTCGGTTGATCTTAGTCAACTGAAAATTGTGGGCACAAAACCTGAAAACATCGATTTGTGACTTGTATTATTTGTTCACTTATTACTTCAAGAATACTAAACGATCTCATTTATACGTTTTCAACTGTCTGGACCCCTGTTGAGACATTTCATTAGAGAAGTAATGGTTAATTTGTTTGATAAGAGTCCAGTTATTTTTCTAGTGCTACCGTACTTGAAAATTCGGCATTCAGTAACCAGTTCTGTATTTTTGCCTCAATTCACTCAAGTAAACTTCATGTTGGGTCAATTTGTTAAAGTAGCCCAAGGTAATTAATTAGTTCTTAATCATACTGTTGACTTGCATCTCAGGCGAAACAACTGAAGCTTACAGCTCAGGTGTCTGAATTCTCGTCCTTCAACCTTAAGAACCCCTAAGCCGACCTTCCTACGGAGAACTTACAACATTGTAAACCCAAAATAAGGATGTCTGGACACCATAGTCCACCTCAAGGACAACTGAAGAGTTAGCGTACTTTGATCTCTGTTCAAAAACGAGGGAGCAGTCTTTTACTGCTTTCCTCAGTTTTGTATTGATGTCCTGAACTTTTGTTAGAAGTAAACCAAACCAACACTCTATCAAAGTGTTGGTCAGACGATAGTTCTAGAAGATGAAGGCACTTCACTCTCTTTCTCTGCAAAGGAAACCGCGGAACCCGATGACCAGTCTTGCCATTTTATGCCAACTTCATGTTTGTAATGCTTGATCCACGTTGTGCCTCGTGGTAAACTTTCGTTTAGTATCCAGACTCTCTTAATGAGCTTTCCACACCTTTAGAGATTGTTGAAAACTATGCTGTTGAGGTAGGATATTTTGAATCGTTACTAAGCACTACTGAAGACTGAGAAGTAGTGACTTGATTTCGATTACACGGTTAACAATGTTAAGTTGCGAAATGCTGAAACGGGCAACCTACTGGTATATCAGCGTTTTCATCATGTCAGTCTATTGAGGGCATGTTTCAACGACCTCGTTTGTTACTTGGAATTTACGAAACGTGCGGCCCAGAGGCCATTACTTTTGACTTGGCTTACGGATATACGAAAACGCTGTTCTGAATTATTTCAATGCTTTTACATATATTTCTGTCTCTTCACCCTAAGCGCACACTATAGTTTGAAAACCTCAAAAAATATTCCACTACTAATCTGGTCTTATCTTATGAATTTAATCATTGGTCTGATACCACACCTTGGTTAGACTGTTCTCTTCCCTCGATTCTTGAGGATTTATCAATTACCGTTTCAAGAATGGGTCATATATGTTTTACAGTTTATTAGGTCGAATCTCACTACATCAGGTTGATTATTATATTATGGCATGCTAGTTAATAGACGGAATATTACTTTATGGATTTGTTGAAAATTGTGCAGTAAGGAATAAAATAGTTTACAACGGTGGACTCTTAAAGGCAGATTCGGTGGTTGGCAGATGACTTCATGTATTGTATCAAATATGTGACTCTCCTCCCAACTCAAGTGTTTTCTTAAGAAATGCTGGATGTCATATTGCTGATTACCAAATTGGGCTCGCCAGTGTAGTACTACAGGCTAAAAAAAAGTTTAGACGTTTCTGTCAGCACGCGCGTGTATATAACACATTTTTCAGCAAGTCCGTACACATATTTCTTGAACTTCGTACCTATCCGCTACAAAAGAAGCTTAGTTAGATATTTTACAAATAGAGATATGAAGATGTGCTCATTCGGCACTACAGACAAATGGCTACATCTAATTTATGATATGTTGATTGGAGTGGGTTATCCACAAGGTATTCTAGAGAAACGCTTGTATCCAATGAACAGGAGAATGGTGATATGGATGTTTGCTAAGAATTCTCCCCTCTTGAATCTACAATTCAATGGAGACGTAGCTGGTGACGTCCTACGGAGCAGACTGACTTGAAGAGCGGAGCAAGCATTTAGTATCATAAACCACTCTCCACAGTCTTCCTGCTTACCTCAGGTAATTTCTCAACATGATCTGGCCAAACCATGTGTATTTATGAACTCATCTGCTTCTGGGCGAAGGCTATAACGGGTGAGCGACCAAACGACTGAGACAAGTTAGTGGACACCCTCATTGTTGTTACGAAAACGTATAATCAGTACGATACGCAGCTCTTTCACATCACACGTAGTCAATAGCGGCTATATAATATGTGGAAGTAGGTCCGTTGAAATGACTTACCAAACTCTTACTCGTTTCCGTCACGTTGTTTGACCTTTCCTTCTACACAGCAGAAGTTGTATAGATTCGAGCTAACAAGCCGAGTACTTACATTTATTAGAAATTTGTGTGATGGCCTATAATCAGTTCATTTTAGCGGATAAGTGCGCCAGTGTGACTATAATCTAACTGAGATATCACTTTAATTTTCCCAACCGCCACAGTGGCTGGAGAAACTTTCTAGTGTACTAGTTTAACAAAATAACCCGATAATAGGGGGAAGATAGGATAGAATAGGGGGACACCGGAAAGTGTGGCTGTGATATAATGTTCAAGACGTTGAACAGATTTATCACCTCAGTCAATTGTTCAGAGAACAGGAAATAACAGTCAAGCTTGATGAACATATCACAGTGTCAACACTATTTTAACCCAAAAACCCCTGTAGGAATTGGCGCAAATTGGGGCAAATTCTGTATTACAGATAAGGTAGTTAGAATTTAGTGGTATTGATCCTAATCACACAATCCTTAAAGCTGAACATGAGACAACTGAGAAAACATATTTTCAGCATTCAACATGGAAAGGAGGACAACATTGTGAACGCTGTGACGATAAAGGGACTACATGGCTCAGCCTTGCAGGCGTGGCCATTCTTGTGTAACTTATCTCTTTTATTCATGTCAAATATATTGTTACATATGCAGCCTAAATATGTCCTTTAGAGGTATTTAACATCAAATTGGTGGTTCTTACGATAGGACGAGTCGGTATATATATATATATATATATATATATATATATATATATATATATATAATATTAGTACTAGTTAGTATGTAAACCTTAATTCCAGAAGAGGTCTTTTTACCTACTCTCATGTTTCTAACGGGTAACTGTCTCAGTGTTTGTTAGTATTTCCCAGATAATTGAACAATTGTTGATAGTCGTCCACACACTGTTGATTCGTTATAATATTTCAGCGTTAGAAGAAATCTACATGTCTTATCAGATTCTTGCTACTTACTATCTACACGGGTTTTGGCCTTCGTATATCTGGAGTATCGGATAACTGTCTCCTAGGAGACAATCTGCATTTTATGATTCGACGTTTTAACGCCAGTTCTTACTCCTCCATCCCATGGATATTTGACCACCCACACAATCACTTTGCATTGTAACGACTGGATAAATAAGAAAATAATGAAAAACAATAATTTAGTTTCAGATGATAGTGTTACACGATTCAGGCCAGTTTAAAGCCAAAACTGAAATGCTACGAATGCTAAAGGATTTACTGCAATATGTTACACAGGTTAGTGTGTTACATTAGTCATAGCAACAGGGGGTAAGTTGCGCACAGAACAACTTGAACAATCTTAGTTGTAAGATCCACTTTTGTATGCTCGTGTGGGAATATGGAGAAAATTTATTCACGTCTAGGTTTTCTGGTAACTAGTCCTTTGCATAATTTGTTATGTACTGTTTCTCTTTTAGTCTGTAAATTCTAAATTCCATGTATTTCCCGGATTTTGCTGAAAAGTTTGATAGCCGTCTAAACATAGTTTTACGCAACAATTTTTTATGACGTTCATCATATTAGAGAGTCATACTTTGGCTGATAGTCTGTGATTCCGTGTGATTTGTGGTGTTTATTTTGAAGTAAGTTCCTTGTTTAATTTTAGGGACGTTTTCCATCATTCACTTGTAATCAGTTGTTTTTTATTTCATCATCTTTTTTAGTCGATTGCTCATATTTGCAGCAGAACAAATTGGACTACGTAGGGTATTGTTTCTTGACTGAAATAAATATTTGTCCTACCGTACCAATTGAGTTTTTTCAGATATTTGTACCAATCGGAAAGATGACATTTCAGGCACGACTACTTTCCTGAGTGATTTTAGACGTTTGTTATGTCGTTATAAAAGAGGTATTAATATCATTATTATTATTCGCAAACAACTTATGGGTACATAAATGTTGTGAAGAAACCATTTCAGGCTTCTTCAGAACTGCAATAATACTCAACTCTCAGTAATGTTGGCATAATATTTGCCATATTCGAAAGCGACACAGGTTCTGTGTATTTGTGAAGAATATCGATTCAACTTTAATGAAGAAAATGGAGAAAATAAGGGAATAATTATAAGGGAAACACGAAATACGTAAATAGTACAATAAGCATATTTGTGAACATGGAACAAGAATAAACGATTATGTATGTTCGCCAAATGAATAACACAAAGAATTAAAATAACTAATAAAATAACTTCCTGCTGCAGTAAGATGTGACGGCACAATAAGTGTTTGTGCAATAATATTTTGGGGGATGCTATGAAAGTCTCAATTAATTGCAAAGGATAATCGAATACCAATTTGATGAATGAAAAATATTCTTTCGAGTAATTTCTCGTCAGGTTCTACAGTCAAAAAATCCAAATTAATAGTCCATAAAATTGGTCAGACTTAGGACAGAGTACATCATTTAAAATTATAACATGTGAATTAGGTATTGTATGTGATATAAAATCAAATCGTGAGTGTTGGGGTTGACTAATATGATGTGTTAACTTGATTCAAACGATGATGTCCTTTGACGTAACGTCCTTGTTCACAAATATTCCACTCAGAGAAACTGTAGGATATATTTATGAACAACTTTGAGAACAAGAAGTAAAAACTACAAACCCTGTAGAGGTCATCAAAGAATTACTACTAAAATGTACTATGAATGTACATTTCAGCTTCAATGATGAAATCTTTAGACAAGTAGATGGTGTCGCTATGAGTTCACCCCTAGGTCTCACATTGGTTGACATTTTTCTCTCTAAACTAGAAAACTGCTAACTGGCACAACAGATTGATAGGTTTTCATTTTACTGTCAATATATGTACGACAAGCCAATTTTTTGTAACCACCATATGGATTTGATAGAACCACTCAAGCGGTTCAATACAGTTCACCCTAACATGAAATTCACATGTGAGAAAGAAAATGAGTGTAGAATAGCCTTTGTAGATATTCCACTTACAGAAAGGAAAGACGGATCGTTAAGAAGGAAAACAAACATGTAAATTTCTTGGACGGGCCAATGTGCAAACTTTCTTAACTTTGTTCCTCTGCAATACAAAAGAAACCTGATTAAGACACTGCATCATAGAATCAAGAACATATGCTCTCTACACACGATTAGAGATGAAACAAATGCATTATATACGACATTGAAAGAAAATAGATGTCCGGAGATATTCACAAATAAAAACATAACCAATGAAACAGAGCATAGAGAATGCCTAACTGTTAATAAAAAGCCTCTGTATATACGCTTACAACTCGAAGGCGACGCACTTGGTGAAATGTTGAGACTGAAGTTACGCAGCTCAATCCAAAGAAGGTTTATGGCAGATAAGATACAATTAATGTTTCACACACATCTAATGGTAACTCCGAGGTTAAAAGATGGATTGCCTAGACTAAGCATTTCTTTCTGTATCTATAAATTCAACTGCTTTTGTGGAGCAAGTTATAACCGCAATTGTTCTAGAAAATAAGTATATTCGGGCTAGCGAGCACCTCACGTTGTGGTTAAGCAAAAGTGGTCAACAGCTCCATTTCAGCCCATTTAATTCAGACGAGACGTACAGCAGTCTTTCGCAATAATATATCGTGTTAACTACAGTCTACATAATTCCGTTGGACTGAGAATCCTCGAGACGGGTGGAGCAATTGCTATTCGGACCAAAAAGCCGGCGCTTTACATCCAAAAGAAACATGTTCAGCCGCTACTTTTACCCTAGTTAACAACTGATAATCACTTTCATAATATGCTAACGTAATTTGATTGATGCTCACTTTTATGTCCGAAACTTATCCAACATCTTACCATTGTCATTATTATGATTATTATTACCCTTGCCAACCTTTTGGAGAAATTCATTCAGCATCTGACCCTATCTACTATATCTGACCTAATTCGTATTATTCTACACATTACGTAATTCCTGAATTTTATTCCATTATTTTCTCTCTCACACCATGTTGACCATATTTATTCTGATCATTATTTACCTCACAATTTCACTTCACTTATAAACTGATTCAAGTTAACACTTCACATTAGTCAGCCTCAACATTAACGATTTAGTTTGATTTTATGTCACATACAGTCTTTAATCCACATGCTAGAATTTTCAGTAATGTAATTTACCTTAAACCTGGCCACTTTCATGGATTATTAATTTGGATTTGAGATAAATGTAGAACCTGATGAGAAATTATTGAAAAGAATATTCACCGTTCACATAATTGTGATTTAGTACAATTGGAATGTTTCAGAATATCAATTTCTATGTGTTGTATATATGCGGTGAAAATAAAATGAATCCGAGAAGTGAATTAAAGTGTAAAAAATATATTGTCTTAATTACAAACTTCGGATACTTAAGAATAATACTTATTTAGAACGGAAAGAAAGAAAGAATAAAACAACTGATGGCAGGGTCCAACCATGATAATAAGAGTGTAATAAATATTGGCCTCTGAATTAAACCATTTTTTTATTTTCCAGTCCAATTGGATAAATACACGTTAATTCACGTAATAAGATACAAAGTAATACTTGATATTAGCATTACCTTTTGTGCAATAATAGTTTAGAATGATGCTATGAAAGTTACAATTAATTGGAACGGATAACCAAATGTCAAGTTCTATGTGTTATATATGTGATGAGTAAAAAATGAATCTGAGAAGTTAATTTATTTAAGTGTAACATAAGATAATTTGTTTTCAGTTGTAAATAAATCCTCAAAATAAATGGCTCTGTAAGTTTTCGGGATTGAATGCAGACCACATTAGTTTTAATGAACTTGTAGGATTATAATCTACTTCGATATTAGTACTGCCCTAATAATAGACCGTAGCCGGCAAACATAGCCGTCTGTTATACGTCACAGATGTGATAACGAAAGTTCGCTACCTCGTCGATACTGGAGTGGAGGTTGGCGTTTTTTCAGCGACTTCTAACGATCGGATTGACGAGTCGGTGTTAAACTTGCAGGCGGCAGACGGAAAGCCCATCGCTACATATGGTAAAAGGTACTTTTACCCTAACGTGGGTTTACGCAAACCAATTCACTGGTTCTTCGTCGTTGCAGATGTTTCTATGCCGATCATTGGCATAGACCTCATACAACACCACGATCCACTCATCGACACGCTCAGACGAAGGCTTATAGACGTAAACACTAATTTATCTGTTTGCGTTACTTCTTTTTCTGGTCGCAGATTATCTCCTGTCACAGTTAGGCACACGATAGACCCACTCTATCAACCATTACTCGATAAGTACCATGGGATTGCCATTCTCAACCAGCAATGTTGAACATCACGTCACGACTACAGGACCATCTGAATTCTCCCAAGCGCGCCGACTGGCTCCTGTAAAGCTGTGGTTGGCCAAAAGCCAATTCGACCACGTGATATAGTTAGGAATCATTCGACCACCAAACAGTCCACAGGCATCTCCCTTGCACATGGTTCCTAGAAAGGACAGCAACGATTGGCGTCCAACTGGTGCAAAAACCATTCTCGATCGTTACTGCTACGTTGAAAGTTACAACTGTCTTTTTGAAAATCGACTGGGATAAAGCTTACAACCGAATTACTATGGCCACTGACGATATTCCAAAGACCGCTTTTATGAATCCTCTCGGACTTTGGGAATTTTTGCGCATGCCTCTCGGCCTAAGAAATGCTGCCCAAACACTCCGGAGGTTCATAGATGACGTTTTTCAAAGACTCAACTTCGTACATGCGTGTGTTGATGACTGCTTGATAGCAAGCCCGAACAGAGAATCCCATCTCCAGCGTCTGGACTTTGTTTTCGAATGACTGCAAAAACATGGCATTACTGTGAAAATTTAGGAATGCCAGATGGCAACTGACTACTGAGACTTCCTTGACACACTATTGATGAGCATGACATCCGACCTATTAGAAGCAAAGACATTCTGGATTACCAAGGACCGACCAGCATAAAGCACTTACGTACCTTCAATGGCCTTGTAAGTTTTATAGACGGTTAGTATCAAAATGCACGTCCCTTATGCAAATTCATATTTTCACCAAAAAAACCTGGGTCTTTCGCTACTAATCCTTCACCATAATGTAAAACTGGTTACAAACTTAAATCTGTTAATTTTTATTTGAAGTGTTTTTTCCAATATTCGAAAAGAATAATTGATGAGCAAAATTTTTTGCCTGAACATCTATTGAAAGTCTTTTGTATCGATAATCATTGAGTGAAACCGAAGCAAGGTTACCGAATATTGGCGCATAAATGGAACGCTCGAATAACCTTACGCGCTCTGGGGAGAAACTGGAAGAATTAAATAACTTCATTAAGAGAAATAAATCGGACGATGCAGACTCGCTCGTATTTTACAATCAGGTTGGTTATTATCTAACTGGCATGTATATCACTTGTTTTTTTTTAGGACGGGCGTTCTAATTCTATGTTAACGATTGAGCCTCTAGGTAATTCTGAATTTTGATATACAATAACAGTAGAACCTGAAAAAAGCAGTTACTACGTTTTTTTAAAATACCACACTTGCTATGATTTGCTCCCTGAAAGCGCCAAACTTGTTGTTTTAGATACAGAACTTAGTGTAAGTGATTCAATGCACATGTAAACCTAATTTCTTAAATATTCAGATCAAAAAAGCGTTTTATGCACTCATATATAACAATGTTCGAGCTGCTATACTGTGGGATTCATCCAAACAGAGTTACTCAGGAATTCTAACGATAACTGACTTTATCAAGGTTTTAGTCACTTTATATCCTCCTGATAGTGGGAAAATGGATGAATTTGAAGAAAGTTCCATTTCCAGTTGGAGAGGTGAGTCGGTCCATTATTTGGTTTTATCACATTTTGGGGACCTATTTGACTTATATGGAGTAATAATTGTATCCTATAATCATATTTAGTTGGAAACCTGTCAATTTCATAGCATTTTAGACTTATGTACTGATTTGTACAATAAAAGTTTGACCACTTTAGAAAGAAGAATTTTCATTTTATCGCTCAAACTATTGCACACGTTTAGAATCATATTTAGCCGGATTGGTCTGTCGTGTGTTTGAGGTAGTACAAGGGCTTTTGTAAATCGAAGCTATCTACATGATCCTGAGATTTGCGTTAGAATTGCGGATTATGGCCTTGAACACCTTGAATTTGACCACAGTTCCGTACTCCAAAGATATGATGACTAAATAATCGAGTCGTGCTAACTGAAAAATACACGGTAATTTAGACTAGATATTGTGGAAATTATTTGGGTGACCTATCTTATGTTTGTTAAATCCCACTTTTGTCTTTGAAATTACAGTTGACTGTTTAAGTTTACTTATTTGCTCCAAATGACTTTCCAATAGTCCTGCACTTCACTAAACAAATCCACAAAATATCGAAAAAAATCAGTACTCAAATATACTATATGATCACAAATAGTGAGATGAATGTATTTTTTCAGGCAAAATAAATTAAGTCAACAAATTCTTTGTTTTCTTAGTTTCCGTTAGCAGTTTGATTTAATCTCATTGTCAAATGGTTGAGTGTTTATCAGGTTTTTTTTCACTTCATTTCTACCGACATACATATTTGTGTTGAATTGAAAGTATCTTTTCTTCAAAGTTCCTAGTTTGACCAAATTTAAATAATTACGTCAGCTAACATGTCAACAACAATTTCGCATATTCTGTTTCAGTTTGTCCAGGAGTAGTGATACTACTCGGCTGACTGAATCAATAGAATGAAGTCCGAACCTACTACTCAGATGTTGAGAGTCAGGTATTCTGACCGCTTTAGTGTTGTTATTCCATGCATAAAAATAGGCATAATTATTTGTAATAGTAGCAATATACGCACTAAGAGACTCTATTCCTCTGGAAAACTTGTTTTTAAGTAGTTACTTGATATACACCGATTTGAAATGTCTAATGAACCCAAAACACTAATATGTTATTCTTCTGACTCTAGTGGTTTTTCCAGCCATACGTTTCTAGTTCAATTTGTTTCGTATCAATCCAATTTTGTTTAAAAGTTTTTATGACAAAACATTTTTTTAATATCATCAAAAATCTAACCACATAAGTATTCATCCATATGGTTACGCATTAATTTTCAAGTATATTACCAATCAAATTCCTCAATATAAATCATGGACTAACTTTTAACACTTACTCATAACTTTGAGTTTTAACCCGAACTGGTCACCGTAACACTTATTCTTAATCCTAGCCCGAACTTGTAGACCTAAATTGTAGTGATTCTGGGGTTTTTGCACAATAATTTGTTTACGCCACTAGCATTCTGACCGACTAGAAATTATGTTTATTTTATCAAGGCCATTTTTGAGGTTGCTATAGGTTGTTAGCAAAATACGCTCCACCAAAGATGCAATAAAATAAATAAAATAACTGAGTATATGAAAGTGCATATATTCGCTTAAAAAATAAAGCCAATTTAAACTATGATCACTTCGTAAAGAATTTGAAAATGTTGGAATTATTTCCAAGAACACTTAATTTGTTCAGTTATTTCATGCAAAAAATAACAGTCTATTAACGAAACTAATTTGCATAGAGACGTCTTTGTTTATTGTTACAATATAAGATGATTATGTCGAAGTTTAATTGTTTGTGAGTCATTCATAGAGTTGCTTTTCAGAAACGAGTGGATAATAAATTTATTTAAACAGAAACAGTAACTTCTCATTCTAAGGTACAATCCTACGTTTTGTTAGTACAAGAAGCTGTATTTATGCAATGACCCTATAAGAATTAAAAATTTATTTAAGTGAATTGCTAGTTGATGTTTAACTCTTTACAATAACATGTTTAATAGTCAAACACTACAAGTCTCACTGCATTGACTTTAGTTTTTGACAGCATTGTTGTGATACATATAGCCCGGTTCAAATCAGTAATAAGAATCCTATACTAGGTAAATATATTACATGAATTAACTCATTAATAATTTTTAATATGAATTTAAAAATATGAAACGGTCTATCCATATTCTTTAGACTAAACTTTAAGGTTATTCAAAGTCTGAATAATCAGAATACATTAATTTTACATGTAAGTTATTCTCATTATACTTCTGTAAATCAGTTTTTTTCTGATTGGCGTTTTTTTAGCGAGTTAGTTTTCTAAGGGATAGGGTTGCTAACCCCATGCCCAACCCTCCTCTTTTATCCGGACTTGGGACCGGCAGTATCCCCAGAGGGGCTCCAGGCGGAGTTCTTTAAATCAGAGTTTATATATATATATATAAAGGATACTCTTCACTTAGAATCATCGTTATTACATTTAAGTTTAAGGTTACTCTTCTTTCCTCTGCAAACTTTAAACTATGAAACTCAATAAATCGTTTAGTCTCATTAGTATTCACTTTGACAAATTATTACTTTTTGTCAGCAGTATTTGTTTTTTTTTTCTGATGAACAACAGTAAACAAATGTTTACTTATTGATTGATGCCCTTTTATGTAAAGAAAAAAACAATATTGTAAATATGCATGACAACAAAAAATCAAGATAAATGTTTAGTATACAACTATTTTACTAGTTGAAATCATAAGTCAATTGAAGCTAGATCTCCATGGAAAACCTGGAAGTACTGGACGGCCGTTTCGTCCTAGTATAGGACGCATCCACGATCCCGCCCCCCCCCGCGAGATTCGAACCCAGGACCTATTGGTCTCGCGCGTGAGCGCTTAACCATTAGACTACTGAGCTTGCACCTAGTAGTGTTAATATATAACTTCAACCAATCCAAGAAATTGCACTACTGTACACCAATGTCTTCAGTGAGCTCAGATCTCACAACAGACCCAGTTGAACTCCATTGGTAACGGCTTCTCACTAGAACTCCAGGAAATGGTTTTGAGGTGAGTTACTAGTGAGCAGATGATTATTATCAGAAGGGGTTTTGTGGAGATTTTCAGAAATTTCACTAGTTGAAATCATGAGTCAATTGAAGCTAGACCACTATGGAAAACCTGGAAGTACTGGACGGTCGTTTCGTCCTAGTATGGGACTGCTCAACAGTGCGCATCCACGATCTCACCCCCCCCGCTTCGATTGACTCATAATTTCAACTAGTGAAATTTCTAAAATATCTCCACAAAACTCCTTCTGACAATTATTTTACTCACAGGTATATTATTATGAAAATTCTGTTTTTTTTTGTACCGTCCTTAGTTCAGATTTGTTATGTAGGGTGTCATACTTAAAGTAAACTGTTACATTGAATAACGAAAGATATTATCATGTAAAGATGTATTTAGTAGAAAAAGAATTGTTCATATGATTCCATTTACTTTTCAATATCAGTACGTAAGTATTCAACTTCATGTGAACAGCTTAAATAAAACGTTGATTTCTTTTTTATTTCATCTTAATAGCCAGTAAGTTTATTGATATTTTCAATAATCAAAACATTTTACCAGGATCAAAGTAGTTTATCTTGTTACCATTGATAGATCTAACATATAATCCTAAGTAATTAGATATATTTAATGAAATATATAACCTTGAAAGCCTTGATGCGTTCAAAAAATGTAAAATTATGAAATAACAGGCTTTTATGTAATCTTACTCTTGTAATCATGATTCAATAGAATACATATATACAAGGAATACTTAATAACACGACCTAATTGGAATTGATCTGACCAGTTGATATATGACGATTATTGGTTTTTGAACCGAGTTGCCATCGTTTTTGCTCTACAGTCTAATGCTCCTGTATGATGACATGTGTCTAGCATTTCCTATTACTACTAATCTTCTACTTTACAAGATTCATCTTCTATCAATAAGATCTGTAGTGGAAAACAATAGATATAAACATTTATTTTACATATGAACAGGATCACTGGAGTATAAAACAACTATGAAAAGTATAGTGACTGATAACTGTTAAGGTCATCTTTGAATAACTGATTATTATTTAGATTTTAATCTGGCTCAAAAAAAATACACTAATCTGTCCTTATTTAGTCATGAGGTAGAGTACTGTCAATGTATCGTTTTTAATAATTTGTTAGATTGGTCTTAGTACTAGCACTATTATAGTTGACCGTTTCATTTTCAGCATAAAATATAATTGTTGCCTACCATAAAACGCCCCCAAATGCCCTGGTACGGCCGAGAGTCGGGAGAGTCCGCTCCCCCTCTCGAAATGCTCTCATATGGCCACGCGTATACAGCCCCTGCCAGGGAAGTCCTACTCACTGCCTTCTCGTGGCATTACTGTTGTTTACGAAATTGAGAGGACGAAAAGCGAATGTCCGGCGCTATAACCGCATCCCAAATCAATGGTGCACATGGGCTGGCTCCAGTATCCTGAAGGAACAAATGGCGTATGAACCAATCGTTGGTCACCGGCTACCATGGGACTGTATCTCCTCACGATGCTCCACTGCCTTGTGGATCAGATCTTCAGGTCAAAGGCTCGGGGTGTGGCCCCCTAAGAAAACCACCTGCTTCGGTTTGGGCACCCGAGCAGTATCACAGCCCTCACACATATCAAATGAGATCTGTGTGGCGCATATGTATTTGGTGCCTTCTTGTACCGATATTTATGTGTTAAAATAAATAAATAAATAAAATCACTATAAGTTTGTTTGCGCAGTGTTCTTCACCAAAATGTACCACTGTATAGTTCAAACTAATATTAGAAGAAGCTATATTGATGGATTTCGCTTATGGCTAACGTAATCCTACTAGGGTCGTGGGTACTCACTATTGAGGAGTTTATTACTAGAATGAAATATTTTTCCTGTACCTCCAGGTTTTCAGTACTAAGTTAGTGATCCAGAATACAAATTTA